GGTCTGTTGTCGGTTAATGGTGGTAGCTTATGTTCGTTGGTTTGTGTTATTTTGTTTGTGATATGTTTTTGTTTACTGTGTACATATACACTTATGCTACACACTTATCTGATTTTCACCATTGCTGGTCATATAGCTGATGGGTCCTCTAACCGATGTCCTCTAGCTGATGGGTCCTCTAGCTGATGGGTCCTCTAGCTGATGGGTCCTCTAGCTGATGGGTCCTCTAGCTGATGGGTCCTCTAGCTGATGGGTCCTCTAGCTGATGGGTCCTCTAGCTGATGGGCCCTATAGTTGGTGGGTCCTCTAGCTGACGGGTCCTCTAGCTGATGGGTCCAGTATTTAATGGGTTGTCAAGTTAAAACGGTCCTTTAGTTGATGAAGCCTCTTGTTGATGTTTCCTCATGTTTGATTTTCTTGTTGATGGGTTCTATTGACTACGTAGTGACGATGTTCAAAAATAAACAGTCCTTGCTTATTCCACGAACAAATCATAATCCACACAACTTTGCCCATTTAAATGTGTGTACCAAAGATAGTTACGTTATACAGTTGAGCTAGTTAATCTTGTGAGGTCTTTACAATAGCCAACACACTGCAAAAAAATTCCTACATCAATAATTAACAAGAAAGGGAAATGGTTGTTGAACACACCATGCCATGGGTTTTGACATGCGTGTTGTTTCATTTATCTCCCCTCCCCTCTCGGTTGTCCATGCTACCAGTAGTTTCCCTTTGACCATCTCCCATTGGTCGTCGCGTGAACACTAGCTCAGCCACCCATATGTCAAAACACACCAGCAAACGTTAACCTTGCACTAGATACTGTCCTACACCCGTCGAACATACACGAATTTTACACCAACTCACTACACATTGTTTACACGTAGAACTTTCACGTACACACAAAACTCCGTCATCACACAACCTACCCAACTGTAGTCACCATACAACATATACATATATCAGCATCTATATATTTGTTAACCTAGCTTAGATCTTTTAAAAACTGTTTTGTATTACTAAAGTATCTATCAACCTTGTGAAGTACTTAGGGTATAATTCGGAATTCTTTCTCGTAACTTGTTTTAAAAATGTAATACTACATCACACAAATCCAACACGTTTCAATTTGCATTATTTTCTTTGAATTGTTTTAAACCGAAGGTGGACTTTCCCCCATACTTTAAATTTAAGAATGCTTCTTAAACACTTAAACAGCTCACGAAGAAAGAGAGAACTAGTCTTTGAAACTTGATGTATTTTATTAGATAAATAAGATGCCTCTAACGAGGAGCCTTATTTTACTTATTTTGTAAGCTCTCCCCCCCCCCCCTTTCCACACCCACACCCAAACTACTCGCCCCATCAGTTTACCATAGTGTGGGTGGACACTGGTTGAATTATAAATTTAATATTTGATTTTAATATTACGTTCCAGATTGTCTGCGGGGGGAGGGGGGGGGGGGTTCGGCATGACGGTGGCCGGAAAGAACCGCAAAGGAAAAAAGCGCAAACAGAAAAAAAGCGCAAAAAGAAAAAAAGCGCACACAGAAAAAAGCGCAAACGGAAAAAAGCGCAAAGAGAAAAAAGCGGACACGGAAAAAAGCGCAAAGAGAAAAAAGCGCACACAGGAAAAAGCGCAAAGAGAAAAAAAGCGCAAATAGAAAAAAGCGCAAACAGAAAAAAGCGCACACAGAAAAAAGCGCAAACAGACCTTTCCAAATTAGGGAATTTACCAACGCGAATAAATATAGGCCTATATAGGCCTGAATTTGGAGTGGGGTGCAAAATTGATAGTTCGTCCTGGGCGCCGAAATAGATCGCTACTCCTTTGTTTATTACCATGTCTATAGTTTATAAAAGATAATCAAAGTTATTAATTATTAGGTACTTTTTGATAATAACGATTAAACACAGTGGCGTTGCGAGGTCGGGTGTCTCCCAGTGCGGCACTTAATGGTGTCACATTCTCATTGGCGTAGCGATCGTTCCCGGTGCCTGGGGACAAACGTTCGATTTGGCGCGCTCTCTGGATCAACCTTTATATTCGATTTGCACCCCCCCCCCCCTTCAAAACTTTCGATTTGCACCCCCCCCCCTTCAAACTTTCGATTTGCACCCCCCCCCTTCAAACTTTCGATTTGCACCCCCCCCCTTCAAACTTTCGATTTGCACACCCCCCCTTCAAACTTTCGATTTGCACCCCCCCCCCCCCCCCCATCAAGCTCTCGATTTGCTCCCCCATCAAACTCCACTCTTGTCAGGATTTGTCAAATTTGCTCTTAAATGACTATTTAACACTCGAATTAATCACTTAATTAAGTGGTATTATCATTTCTCTCTATATATTTTGCTATTTTTTGCCTTGGTGTCACCCCCCTAGATGGTGTCACCCGGTGCGGTCCGCACCCCCGCCCCCCTCCCCCCCCCCCCCCCCGCTACGCCACTGATTAAACATTTTTGCGCCCCCATAGGGATGGCGTCGTATGCGACCTCCTAGTTCGCCTTATAAGTAGCGCCGGCCCTGCGTACACATATAGCCAATAATTGAATTTCAGTTTGTTCAAATCGCGCTTGAATAAAATAAACCTTCTGTCGCCAAATCTCATAAATCAATTATTATTGCTCAAGTGTCACCTGCCCGTAAGTGCATTATAGAAAACATTCATTTGGAAATATTTCTTATGTTTTCACATGGCTTTTTTTTTAACAAACCAAGCTGTTGCTTAACAATTAGAATCCAGGAATCATCGGTAGACCGCATGCATATTTATAATCAAGCTTGTTGCGCTTAAAATCCAGGCATTAAAATTGTGGCATCTGCTTTCTTAGAAGTAATTTAAATTAGGCACGATATTCTTTTAATTGATTCATTTGTCTCCAACATACACTGATACATACGCGTAAACAGAGTTTCTTCCAGGCATCTCTTCGGGGGGATGACCCCCCCCCCCCGAAATTTTTTTACCGCCCCCCCCCCCCCCCGAACGAAATGAAATTTATATAATTTATATAGAAAATATATACTTTTAACAGTGTCCGCCCCCCGAAGAAAGTCCACCGCCCCCCCGAAAATTTCAAGAGCCCCCCCCCCCCCCGGAGAAAAAAGTCTGGAAGAAACACTGCGCGTAAATACAGTTATAGCTGTAGCAGTTTTTTTTTTTCAATCTTTCACAATCTCTTTATCTGACTGTTTATTACTAAAGACTTTTGCGATCGTTCTAAAGTTTTGCTTTCGTTCATTTTTTTTTCATTTTCGGCTGTCTGTTTCATATTTAACACTTTGCCTGAGCAGTTCTTGTCTTTCTATATAATCCATATAGGCAATTTATACAACGTCTAGGAAAACGCCTAAAATTCAGGAGGGCACTGGTCAAAGTTTATATTTTCTATAATATAATTTTGTATCCCCCCCCCCTCACACCCGAAGAGTTGTCTGAAAGAAACTCTGGTGGCGATGGCTGAGTATTGGAATGAAATCGTTGCATTCGTCCACCTAAAACTGAACTCAATGGCTTTTGAGAAACTAAGTGGAATAACTACCGCTTCCGGTTATCGGAAATGGCTAAAACGTTTTTAGATTTTATTTAATATTCTTATATAAAATTCGGTAAACATATCAGAGAAGATTGTAGGAAAAAAAGTCACAGGAAAAAAAACACAGGAAAAAAAAACACAGAAAAAAAATCACAGGAAAAAAGTCACAGGAAAAAAAAGTCACAGGAAAAAAAGTCACAAATATATATTTGCATGATATTTGTTAATACTGTTATGTATTAAATATTTAGATAGTGCAAATTAACTTAGGATAATTAAATGTAATGTGTGTAGGCTGTATACGCACAGGAATTTTTATAATTCATCTAAAAATATTTATTATGAAGTATGTAGATTGTAATTATTTTAAACTTAAGATAAGTAGCATTTAATAGAATGCTCTAAAGTCCACGTTTTTATCCTGCTTTTTTAAAAAAAATACCAATATTAAATTATTGTGAAATGGTAAGTTCATCTGACTTGCTGCCCTCAACTCATGGCAACAATAGTAACTTATAGTTATGTTTAGTTCAACCACCTTTACTTCCCACATTTATCACGCTCATTACGTAACAAAACTTAGGATCAAAACAGAAAGCCGAAAAGGTTCAAAGGCTGTCGATGACGCATAACGTCAACAACACAAAATATGTTCAGACAATGCCTACTGAGGAGAGGTCGACCAGAGAATAGCCTACGGCAAAATTTGCCTAAATTTCTTTTATAATTAAATTTTCTACCGCGTTTTTAACTAAATACGTAACAAAAGTTGAGATTGTTGTGTAAATTATATTAGAGTATTTTTACTTACAATTGTTATAAACCATAAAGCTTTTAACGTCTATAAATAATTTATGCTATAAAAAAATACAACCCACAACAATAAACATACAAAATTTTACAATTCTAAACAAATTTAAAAAAAATATTTCTAAAAAGATTTTTGTGACTTTTTTTCTGTGACTTTATTTCTGTGACTTTTTTTCCGAAAATTTTTTTCCACTGTGACTTTTTTTCTGTAACTTTTTTTCCTAGCAAAAACTGTGACTTTTTTTCTGTGTTTTTTTTCCTGTGACTTTTTTTCCGTTTACCATCAGAGAAGGCACTCGTTATCTGTTTACAGACACACGTACACTCACAGACAAGGGACAAAACTTGCAAAACCAAGTTTTTTCCGAATCGGAAACGCGTTAAACATCGATATTTATCAAAATCACGATTTAGATTTCCTTGCACGATCACAATTCGTCCTGTATTAGTTTTTTGCATAAGTATAGGGCCTACTCCTTATATGTGAAAGTAGGGAGGTGTAAACGGCGAGAACTGTAAAATTTTAATTTTGATTTCTTTTTGTTTCACGATTAGGCCTAGGCCTATTCTTACAGTTTTTCTACACTATTATTATTAACCAATGAATGTGGCCCTGGCCTGTTTCTCCTTATTACCAAAATAAGAGCCGATCTATTTATGCAGGCAGCCATAACTTTCCTGGTTTTACAACAATAGTGTTGCAAATATTTCTAACTTTTCGAGCAGACTTTTGATTTAAAAATGGGTTTCGAAACTTGTGGTCCCAATGAAGTGATGGTTGTTTCAGGTAATAATACTAAATCTAGATCTATCTGTTGTGTTTTAAGTGCTTTATTCTCCTATTTTGATTTGATTTGGTTTTTTCTCCATTTTCGCTGTTGATGTCACTTGTGATGTGAGGCAGACCCAAAAATAAAAATACTAGATCTAGATCTAGACTCTAGACTATTACTAAAATAGATCTAGATCTAGAGACCTAGTTATAACCCCTTTATGACCTTTGAATTTCGGTCTACAATGCTAGATTTTTCGGTAATCTATCGTTTTGGGTACGTAAAATCGCCCGCGACTAGTAATGTGAAAAACAGGTGACTCCTTAAATTTTAATAATTATTTCACATTTTGAGGAGGATTTGTGTTTTTAAAAATACAAAAATGTTTCTTTGTTTCATTTATGTACCTGTTTTTAAACAATTGAATTAAAACTTTTCAGTAATAAATGAAGACTAGCGATGTTTCCAACAGATGCAACCATGCTCATTTACTATAGCAGCCATCTTGTTTAAGTTTTTTTTTATAGCGGATATAGCGCAAGACAGGGGGAAGCCACTCTATTTTACAAATGGCTGCTGTTTATATAGCAAATCTTGCTCGCAAACACTGCTGTTTAAAGCTAATTTCTGGCATATATTGATATATTTAGCCATTGATTTAGGTTTATTATTCATTTATCTATAATATTTGACACAAATATATCACAATATACTTCTACTAAAGCCTTGACAATGAGGTAACTTTTTCGTACATTAATAGCCGCGGGCGATTTTACGTACCCAAAACGATAGATTACCGATTTTTCTAAATAATAGATCTATGATTCTATAGGCCTATCTAGAATCTAGTATCTAGAGTAGACTTTAGTAAATAAATCTAGACCTAGATCTAGATCTAGCCCCCCCCCCCCCCCCCCCCAATAAATTAAAAATTAAAAAGTAGCCTAAAAATGCTGCATCTAGATTAAGATTAGATCTAGATCTAGACTTAATTCAGTGTAATTCTGGTCTGGATATTCTCACGGTAATCTATTGCTTTAGTTTTAGGTACGTAAAATCGTCAGCGGCTAGTAATGTATGTACGAAAAAGTTACCTCATTGTCAAGGCTTTAATTTAATAGAAGTAGGCCTAGATTAGATTGTGAAATATTTGTGTCAAATAATACAGATAACTGAATAATAAACCTAAATCAATGGCTAAATTTATCAATATAGGCCAGAAATTAACTTTAAACAGCAGTGTTTGCGAACAAGATTTCCTATAGATAGGCATTCCGACTTCCGCTGTTTCGATTCGGTATTCCACATCCGGACTTTTTGATGCAGACTTTTATAAAAACTCGCCATTTTCCGAAGAATGCCGAATCTGACTGTTGGAATCGAGTTTTTAGAAATATTCGATATAGATATTCTAGTGTAGTAGTATTATATGTTTCAATTAGAAAATTACCGCCATTATGACAATTTTAAAGCCGAAATCGATCGCACGATTCTAATGAGTTTATCTCGCGAACATGTCCCGTACGGTGCTGTCACATTTTAAATAAGTTTACGTATTAAACACATTATAAGTGTCTTGCCATTAGTTGTAAGTGTCCATTAAATAAACAAATATTATTATAATAACGGTTTTATGGCACTTACTACTTCTGTTTACGAGTTATCATACATGTCAAATCCCCGAGCTAGCGCTTCGGCCTTGACAACGCCATGGCGTCCGTTTAGCACCGCATTACCTATTATCGATAAAATACGCGCACTAATGCCAATGACGTAGTTTTCGAAGTTGGAAGGAATTTAAATTGTGGGTGGCACTGTTAAAACTAGATAAAATACATTGATCAAGTTATCTATTAAAAACGACTGGCCAGAAGCTTAGGCTTACATTAACTAGTGTCAAGCATTTCACACATACCTACTTAGTACTTAGATTTAAGGCTTATACTTAATTAAGTTAATACTAAATTATACTTTATACTATAAATAATAAATAAGTTATAGGCCTATTTCTTAGAATAACTAATGCTATATGTATCGATTGATAAAGTAAGTCTGGGCCTATTATTGGTTATGATAAGTAAAGAAGCTTGGTGATAAACTTAATTAATTATTTGTGATAATTAATTATGCCTATGACATTAGTAAATAGTAAATATAATAAACAAAAGGCGCAGCAATTGATATGGGTTGGGGGGGGGATACTAATTAATAAGGCAGTGAATTTAGAATGACACGAAAAAGGCATGATAGTTATTATTCATAATAATTTAGGATACAATTTTTACATTTAATAATAAAAAGTAACAAAAAACAAATACAACAAACATTACGTATTTAAATCACAGCATATTGCCAATATATTCATATAAGCCGATAGACAGGGAAGCTGTAACTTCTGATGTGGTACGACTTACTTAACACTTAATAAACTTTTACAAGAATTTAAGGTTTTTCTATTGATTAGTTGTACCAAAATAATAATATCAATAGGGCCTGATAAAGACCCTAGTATATTAAATAATTAAAGTAGTTTCCCTTTTGGACCTGTCAATCCATCATCCATAGAGCAGCTGAAGTAGAGTTTATCTGTTTCTTGACCACTGAACATGAAGTGATGGTGTGGTTAGCTCTCTGCCAAGCTATCTTTACTTTCCCTTGTGTCAGGTACTCATCTGAGCTTGGTGGATGCTGCGCGCTGCACAGACAGACTTGTCTGAGATCTGAGCTTAAGACTTGCATGTTAGTAGTTGAGTGCTTTACCACACCATCCCTAGTTTTATTTTTCAGCATTCTTCTTATTACATGCTTCAGTATCAATCACCAAATTTATCCTTTCTGTTATAGTAGCATTCTGGACATACGTCTGTTGCAGTCACTATAATTACTATATAAGGGTGCAACACCCTTTCATAGGACTTTTAATTAGGCCTATATGCAGTCATACTTAATCTAATTTTTTTCTATATTTCTATTGCCCCCACCCTCTAGCAAAGTTTCAATTTTATTTTTTTTTAATATTAAAAAAAAAAAACATAGACTTTCAGTCTGCATATTGACCTATATAGAACAGCACCCCTCACTTTAATTTGACCTGATTAGTTCTAATTATCCTTCATCAAATTTTGATTTTACTTTCATATTTCTATTGCCCACACTCTCTAGCACTAATGTGCAAAGTTTTATAATTTTATCTCAAATAGCAGCAGTGGTATGCAAGCCTAAAGCCAATCACACAATTAAATCTGATATTACAGTGATATATAACAGGTTTAATACATAACTTTAAAAATTCATATAAAAAAAACTATTAGGCCTAGAATGATAAATTTGGTATTTTTATCAATGGGGTATATTATAGGATTAATCTGTGTACATTTTATCATTCTATGATAATTAGGAAAAATATCCCAACATTCCTACCTATAGATCTATAAACAGCAGCCATTTGTAAGTTAGACTAGTGGCTTCCCCTGAATCTTCCGCTATAAGTTTAACAAAATAAAACTTAAACAAGATGGCTGCTATAAAAAATGAGCATGGTTGCATCTGATGAAAACATCGCTAGTCTTCATTTATTACTCCTACTGAAAAGTTTTAATTCGATTGTTTAAAAACATGTAGGCCTACATAAATGAAACAAGGAAACATTTTTATATTTTTCAAAACATAAATCCTCCTCAAAATGTGAAATAAATATTAAAATTTAAGGAATCACCTGTTTTTCACATTACCAGTCGCAGGCAATTTTACGTATCTAAAATGATAGATTACCATTCTCACTAAATATAAAACTTAGGCCTACTCAGTTTTCAATTTAAACATGACAACTGGTTAATTGACATCCATTGGGCACTAATTTTGAGGGTTTTAGCCTGTTTTAAGACTACCCAAGGCCTAGGGCGGCCTAGGCCTACTTAATTTAAAATTTATTGTCACCTCAGCCATGGCATGACACTCCTTTCCATTACAAACATGATTATATCACTATCACTCTTTTGTGTAATGTTATACTTCATAACTGGCTATGCATGTGAGTTTCTTGAGAGTTTCTTTCAGGCATATCTTCTATGTCTACTGCCACCAATTACCAATAGTAATAGTTTGTTTTTATAACGTGAAAACTCACCATTTTGCTTGAAGTAAACATTTTTAAAAGTAATTCTAAGAAAGTCATTGGAACTAAGAATAAGATGAAAAACCATGGGATGTTATGCATAATGCATCCAGTGGGGATGCCATATTGTTGTTAGCAACAAGCCCCTGTTGCCAGGTTAGCCAGCAATACTAATCTATTCAATTCAGGTTCCATTGCCATCAACACTATTCGGACCCGGCATTAAATTTGTTAATATTTTTATGGGCTACTATAAGCATTCATTAAATTGAATCAGGCACTTCCACCTACATCTTGGTGGTCGTGTTACCTGCAGCATCTAGGTTCCCCTGTGAGTACTATGGCGCCTACAACAGGGACACGGTGGCACATGACATTCAATTATTAAAACCGCACCCCACGCCCATGTGATACTGTAACCGGTGGCTCCTGAGAGGGTCCTTGAGTGACACAATGTGTGGTTATTATTTACATGATCCAAACACACTTCTAAAAATAAATGTTTGTTAATGCATTGATGAAATCCTCTTAAAATGTATAGTCCATGTATAAAAACAGAAGATTGTTGATGTCTTCAAGCCAAAGTGGAATTTTTGTGTAAAAGAGAGTAATATATTTTTGTGTGTAAAGGAGTAAAATATTTGTTGAAGGCCTGAATACTAATATTTGCATTTTCTCTGTCTGTTTTGTAACTAGAATTCCCAAATGCAACAATGAGCTACATTTTCTAGTTTAATGTGGTATCTTTCACTAAAAAAAAAACAAAAAAAAAAAGCCAAAACCAAAAATTACTATTTTTCAGTTCTAGTCCTAATCTAATATATTTATTTAAGCCTATTTAATTCTTGGTCATTTCGATCTCCAAGTTAATACAGGAGGTCAGTTTTCTGGGCATATTCCAAAACTGTGTTCAGAGAATAGCCAACTAATCAGCTAGTTGATCTTTGTAAGCATATTTAGCAATTTATGCTATTGTAACACTGCTATAATAGTTTTAGGGCAGTTACATTACAAGATTCAAGGCCTTGATCAGCATATGACTGTAAGATTAAAGTATAGGTTGCGAAATGTTTTACAATTCAAGTGTTTTGTCTTTTGCAGGATGTTGCCACGTGCGCTCCGTGTTCATTCCTGGTGGTCGCGTCTTTGTCTGGCCTGGAATCCAGAAGCTGCAGAGGTAAGTTGATTAAAGTACCTTTCAAGAACTATAACAATTCTTTTTTACAGGATGGTTTGTTTTGTTATAGAGCACAAGAATGCTAACCTGGAAGTCCTGCTTAAGATGATACTGGCATAGAGTCTTTTGACATTGGTGACAATAGTTCACCTGTTATTCAATAGATTTTGTTGGTTTTAAAAGTTTATTTCAGGAAAATAATTGGCATATACATTAATGAAAGCAAATCCAGGAGGCAGATAGATTGCTATTACTAAGCATAATACATTCAAGAAAGACGAATCAAAGTGGTGTTACAGAAAAAAAAAATGTTTGTTAATTCGTCTTTTCACTATCTTTGTTCAAAATTATGCTGTAAAGTAAAGCAGTTTATTTTCATCCCACCAGTATTAGATAAAATTGGATAAATTTGTCAGTTCATCAATGAGCACTATCCACATGAGGATCCTCTTTCATTATAATATTATCATTTTTCACGGTTCATTAATAAAAAAAAATAATTTTTTGTGGGTTTTAAAAAAAAAATGTGAAATATCTATCTGGGAAAATAGCTGTTTTGCTGGGGGTTTAGTTTTTTCATCGAAGATACTACGCCACATGATGAAGTGGTGCCTTCAGAAAAGAAATCATGCTCTTCTTGACATTAATCTCATTTTCATCTGCGTCTCATAATTACTGCATAGCTAATTAATCATTATCATTTTAGTTGATAATTTATAACTACTATAATAATAGAGTGTCGCTACTTCTGGGAGAGTAATGTATAATGGGTGGGCCTGGAGTGGAACGCTGAGGGAACATTGTCTCTTTGTATTGTTAATGTTCTCTCCCTCCTCTTCTCATGCTAATTCTTTGGAAGAATGAGCTTGAACACAATGACGCTCACTATTGAAAGCCCTCAGGTGTATACCAAACAGGGTGTCTCAATATCTGTGACTGGCATAGCGCAAGTAAGTGTTGGGCACCTTGCTGTTAGCTAGTGGTGGACTCCAGCAGCCTTTGCTTGTTCTTGGCGTGTACCTGTGTTTGTAGTATGTTTTCTATGGTGGAACCTGTTAACTAAGGCCGCTGATTAACTTTGGCTGACTCTGTGGTGGATAGTCTGGTTTGGTTTATTATTTGTTGGCCTATGTTTACTGTTTCCCTCCACTGAAAAAATGTCTACTAAAATAGTTTTAGTCCAGTGTTTGGTCACTTATGAGTTTTTGGTGGATGTGTAGTTTTTTGTTTTTTTTTCAGTATCTGTGGGCACTGTTAGTTATTATTTTTATTTTGCTCTTTTTTAAGTTTTAGTGCCTAGAAACATGTTCATTTAATAAAACAAGTTTCTAACGCATACCGTTTTGAGAATAATAAAATTAAAGTTAAAATAATAGGCCATTATATACTTTTATAGGCCTACAATGGATTTTAAAAGAAAATTTTTTAATTTCTTTTACGCTCCCAACTTTCCTTGTTTAGTTCTTTCAAATCACCTGCCAGCCTTCATTGATCCAAAACTTCCTCCTTACTTTTATTTTTATTTCAATTTTATTTTTTGTTTTGTGTGTGCATAGCCTTCTTTTTGGCCCATTTTTCAGACTCTCACTGAACACAATGACGCTAACAATAGAGAGTCAGAATGTGTACACACAACTGGGTGTAGCTATATCTGTTACTGGGATTGCCCAGGTAAGGAAACAACACCAGCAGCGCTGATAATAAAGAGGACAGCGTAGCATATCAGCCGCTATTTTGCTAAACACATTTATATATTAATCTATTGGATGCTCTGAAAATCATTTACTAAATTATTTTACTAGTTTTTTTTTGCATGGAAGAAATTAATTATAAATAAAAATTTGATCATTTTAAAATTATTTTATATTTATCATCTTTTTATCCAAAATTTAAGTTATTTTATAAAAATTGAAAGGATTTATTTATTAAGTAATTATTTTATTAAGAAAAAAAAAATCAATTTAAAAAAAATGTTTATCCATGGAATTCGATTTTAATTTTTTTAATTCCTTCGATTTATAAAAAAAATTCTTTTTTTTCTCTGTGCATGCATGTAGGCAATTAGAATAAAGCAGAGTATTTTTAAGGGGAAAGTTAACTCAAAATGATATAACTCCAAATTGATATTCAAATGCTACACATTTTGTAGTCTTTTTACCAGTATTTTTAAAACTAATTTTTGTTTATAAAAATGCTATAGAAATATAATTTAAACTCAATTTATAAATGATAAATTTAACAAAGATTATTAAAATAGCATCTTCGGTGATGTTTTAATAAGTTTACAACAAGAAATGGGTCAAAAAGAAAAATTTTCCCAGGCTGTTTTAATTGTTACTTAATAATTCTGAATAGTTTCTTTTCTAACCTGCTGGATCTTAATTGCATGCAATTTTTATTTTATAAGAATTTCTACCAAATTTTATTTTTTATCAGAATTTCATTTTAAACATGCAATAACTTTCAATTATTTTTTTTTTTGGTCTTAAATTGAAAATATTAAGATAGTCTGCATGTTTTATGTTGTACCTTAATGTAACAATATGTAGCTCTGCATGCTGAGTAGATGATTGCATTACTAAGTCATGTATGCTTTAAATTTGTTGTATTATTGTTAAAATATAATTAGATTTAAATAAATGATATGAATTACTGAAAACTAAGTGAGGTAAAGTATTAGCATTTGTTTAAACAAAATGTATAAAATTAATTAAAAAAATATTTTATATTACAATTATTTAAGAGTTAACTAAGTATAAAGTTTTTATAATCTATCTTTAAAATGTAATATTAAACTACTGCGTTGATGATAGACATTGTTCATGAAAAATTTTTGATGTAATGAAAATAATCTCAAGTTCATTTATACTACAAGTACTAACATAAAATTAGTGATAAAAATAAATTGATAATTGATAATCACTCAAACTGCCTGGATAAAAACTGTGTTCAAACCACTTTCGAACTATCTTTTTTAAAATTGTGTTGTCCTCTAGAAAGTGATGTAAAGCATTTGTATTTAAAGTTAAACATTCAGAAATATTGTTTAACCATTAAATAAGAAATTAGCTCCTTGTTTTTAAAATTTCACAACAGACTTAGGTTAATTAAATATTTTTAATATTACCTGATGAACTCCAGTAATTTGTTTGACAGGTCAAAGTTCAAGGCAACAATGACAAACTTCTTCAAGCCGCCTGTGAACTATTTTTGGGAAAGTCTGAAAAAGACATCAGGAAAGTTGCACAAGAGACCCTGGAGGGTCATCAGCGAGCTATCATGGGCAACATGACCGTTGAGGTCAGTTATGGCTTACATCTTTATCACACTTTATTGTTTAGTTCAGGTTTTGGGGTTCTTAATCTAACGTTGTCTGGTTTTGCAGGAAATTTACAAAGATCGGAAGAAGTTCTCTAAAGCTGTTTTCGAAGTTGCTTCATCAGACTTGGTCAACATGGGCATCTATGTGGTCAGTTACACTCTGAAGGACATCAGAGATGAAGAGGTAGGCTGAGCTGGGCTTATCTTTTGACAATATTCATGCCTAATTTTTTTCAATAGAATCATTACAGTTTGGACCCCCACCCCAATGCACGTTTGTTTGCTTGGGTACAACAGCCCATCTAGGAGAAAAAATACTGAAATCAAACAACTGCTGCCTTACATATTGTTCTTGGGGTGAACAAAGGCTATGGAAGCAAATACAAATATAAAAAGCAGTCTGAAGTCAGTCAACTGCCATATGGCTGTAAAACTTAATTTTGTTGGTAGAAATCCCATTTTGCAGCAATATTTAAATTTTTACGTTTGCCATTATTGAAACATCTTGTACTTAAAAATCTTCATTTAAATGTAAGTTTTTTTATTTGCTTTGATTCCCTCTGTAGATTAAATTTGTTCTAATCTGAATGTCATTAACATGTTTTATTTATAGCAACAATTATTTTCCAGATGTTTTATTTATTGCATTGATCTAACATACTTGATGTTCCCTCTATCAGTTTCTTCTGGCCAATTATTATTTGTTGTTGTCTGATTAAGAATGCTGTAGAACTAGAGTTTATAAGCAGGGGAATCCTATAAAAACACTATTTTATACTTGCTGACACAAAGTCATTTTTGGAATGCTATGTTTTACTACTTAAATCTTAGCTCAATATCATGAAACAAAATAAAGCAAATATACAAAATTGAAAGATACAGCTGAATGTCTGTCTTTAAATTTTTTTGAAGTAGTTTAAATAAAATAACATAGAAAATTTATAATTTCTGATTAGTGCCTCAATTCAATGAAGCAAGGTAAAAAGTATAGAAAACATATAGTTTAATTTCTATGAAGCAATAAAAAAGAAATGATATAAAAACCAACAAATGTTTCTGAAAGCCTGTCGTTTGTATGATGGGCATGCATGTGTGATATAATGAGAGAATCTGTATATCTGTAGGGTTACCTGATGTCTTTAGGCAAAAAAAGAACAGAGGAAGTTAAGAGAGATGCTCGCATCGGTGAAGCCGAGGCTAAGAAAGACTCTGGCATTAAGGTGATGTAATCACACAACCACTGAATAACCCACCGTGTCAGTTTTTTTTCAGCTCTCCTTTCCAGAGATCCACCAGACTTGCCACAGCTCTTTTTTTTTTCTTTGTGAAGATAATACCATCAAACTAAAATCACATTTTTTTCTCTCTCTTCCCACTCTGCCCGTGCCTTTCTTACCTACTTCTCTGTGTATTGGTACCTCTCACTTCTCCCTGCCTGTCCCTAAGATGTATCTAAAATCTCTGGGCATGGCCAGAACGGCCCAAGTCAAACGTGATGCCAGGATCGGTGAAGCAGAAGCTATGAGGGACTCTGGAATTAAGGTAGATCTGTCTGTTACCCTTTCCATTGGTGTTCCTCGGCATGCTCTTTATTTTTAGCTTTCTGTGTAATTATTCGTTGGTGAGTTCTGTTTATTTCCATTTGTTGAGAAACTTACTTGCAGTTTTAATGAGTTTTCATATTTACCTTTTTTTTTGCTTTAATTGTTGAAACAACATAGTAACATTTTAGTCCTCCAGTTTAGATCCACAAAATGATTCAGCTCTGTTATGTCCCCTTGTTTTTAATTTAATACTTTGTTCTGTAAAATGAGCAGAATTTATAACTTCATTAATGAAATTACAAATTTTAAAATTCTAAAACAAGTTTTGTGAAACACACTCTTATTAGATTTACTTATACATATCATTTACTTATATGACTGTTATAGTCTTTGTATTATGTGTGTGACCTACTTAGATCTTATTTTTTATATGATTTAGTTTTTGGCTTATGTAATCGACCTTGGGAGAGTTCACTAGTACTTTTCCGTCACGTCATATGATGAAAGTTTAATTGGTTATTTAATTGGTGTTTCTAGTGCTATTCAGTGTTTTCAATAATTTCCCTTAAAGTTGTGTTCATTATCCAATGCCACATCTGTGATATTTGTAATCTAGTCTAGTGATTTTTTTCATTAACTGGTTTATTATTTACTCTTAGTTTCTATATTATTTTGTATAAACCAAGTGTCATTTTTATTCCTGTACACATATTAAACGGTTGTTGATGGATTAAAGTTGTTGTGAGTCACATCAGTTCAGCGTGTTTATACCCCTAGATCTTATTCTCGAGCCCACGTTGAAATTTGTTGTGTTCTGACCCTCTTTAGTAGACATCTATCATTAGCCATTCCAAAACGAACCCGGTGCGTTGGCTAGCTGTAAGACTGACAGAATAGCGTTCGTAATATGTGCATATGGTCAGATTTTCAGTTGTAACATTGAATTCCTCCTACACTGCCTACATATTTTTTTGTCTTCGTGAGTTGTTTCAACATTTAGTGGTTTGACTACTAGTTCTTCACAGTGTTACCTTGTATTAGTTCTCAGCCTTGCATTGATTAGTCCTTCAATGTATTACTCTCTATATGTTCTACAATGTATTACATTTTATTAGCTCTTCTTCTGTGATTAGTTTACTTGCCCATCCAAAACATTTCTGTATTAGTTGAAAGTGTAATATCTTGCAGTAAAAAATCAATATTAACTTGCCTTTAGTTATCTCTCTTGTTTATGCCCCATGTTTAGTTAGCTAAACTAATCACACAAGCAGTGCACATTTTAATACATGTGTGATTTTTATTGTTGGTTTTCATTACATATTATTTATACTATTTTTGTGTGTCTAAAATGTATGAGTATTTTTTAGTTTTAAAATAATTTTTTCAAACAGCTTTTCTAATCTCCAATTAACTTCTAACATATTATTTTTAAACTTTACATTTTGAAAAGAAATTTCATACATCATAATTTAGGCTTGTTTTATAGTTTATTGCCTGTAGTTACTGAAAGAAGACATTTTTAAAGTTTTTATTTTAGTGTATAAGGCACTTATTAATAGTATGATTTAATCAATATATGTAAATTAGTGAAAAATTTAATTCCAGAAAGTCTTTTTGCTTTGATTATTCTAGTAACCCATACAGTACTTAGTTCCGCTCAAGGAATGATAACAGAATATTTATCTCTCCCCCCACAGGAAGCAATTGCAGAAGAGAAACGCATGCAGTCCAGGTATGTCAACGACATTGAGATAGCCAAGTCCCAGAGAGACTTTGAGCTGAAGAAAGCGGCCTATGACATGGAGGTTCAGACTAAGAAGGCCCAGGCTGATTTGGCTTACCAGCTACAGGTTGGGAGATTTGCACTTCTTACTTACACTGCTTCTGTTTTGTTAAATGTGATGTTGTTTGGTGGTAATGGTTTGTTTTAAAGTGGAACAGTTTGGTTGAGGGGTAGCATGTGTAGCTGCTTATTTGTAAGTGCTGAGATCACCTGTCAGCTTTGATGGGCATCTGGTTAATAATTCAGAAAGAAATGTTGGCCAGGCTTTGTAAATTCCTTTACATGCCATAGGCACAGAAACAGATAAACTCTACTTCATCTGTCTGCCATAGGGCTGGTAAGTTCAACGGCTCAATAAAACCTGCATGAGCCATAGAGCGGGTTGGTGACCTACTTACCAGCCCTATTGGCACAGAAACAGATGAACTCTGTTTGTTGTATTGTCAACCAGAGGCCCACAGTATCTTGGTCAATTAGGAAATTTTTTGTTAACAAAAGTTTTGTTTTTGTACTTAGGCTGCCAAGACAAAACAAAGGATCAGAGAGGAGAACATGCAGGTGATTGTCATTGAAAGGGCCCAACAAATTCAGGTCCAGGAGCAGGAGATCACAAGAAGGGAGAGGGAGCTGGACGCTCAGGTCAGGAAACCTGCCGAGGCTGAGAAGTTCAGGCTGGAGAAGTTGGCTGAGGCAAACAGGTGAGGTGGTGGGTGAGTGAGGGGAGGTGGTCATTGTAGGTGTTGGATCATTGCCTAAATAAGGGTTTGAAATGATTCAGGTTATAGAGTTGGCTGATCAAACAGGTGGGTGGGGGGTGGTGGTCATTGTAGGTGTTTGATCATATCATGCCTAAATAGGGGTTTGAAATGATTCAGGTTATAGAGTTGGCTGAGGCAAACAGGTGAGGTGGTGGGTGGGGGGGGGGTGGTCATTGTAGGTGTTGGATCATTGACTAAATAAGGGTTTGAAATGGGTTCAGGTTATAGAAGTTGGCTGATCAAACAGGTGAGGTGGTGGGTGGGTGAGTGAGGGGAGGTGGTCATTGTAGGTGTTGGATCATTGCCTAAATAGGGGTTTGAAATGATTCAGGTTATAGAAGTTGGCTGAGGCAAACAGGTGAAGTGGTGGGTGGGTGAGTGGGGGAGGTGGTCATTGTAGGTGTTGGATCATTGCCTAAATAGGGGTTTGAAATGATTCAGGTTATAGAGTTGGCTGAGGCAAACAGGTGAGGTGGTGGGTGGGTGAGTGGGGGAGGTGGTCATTGTAGGTGTTGGATCATTGCCTAAATAGGGGTTTGAAATGATTCAGGTTATAGAAGTTGGCTGATCAAACAGGTGAGGTGGGGGGAGGTGGTCATTGTAGGTGTTGGATCATTGACTAAATAGGGGTTTGAAATGATTCAGGTTATAGAAGTTGACTGAGGCAAATAGGTGAGGTGTGGGGTGTTTGAAATCAGTGGGGAGGGGGGGGGGGGGTCATCGTAGGTGTCCAATCGTTGCCTAAATAAGGGTTTGAAATGAGGCAGAGTTATTTCCATTGGTGTATGTAGTGTTGCATCATTGTTTGAATAGGGTTTTCAATGAAGATGTTATTGAGATCAAACTGGAAGGCATGGACTAGTTCTTTAGGGGTTGTAAAAAGTTTAACCAAATTCAACTATTTATGTAAATAAAATTTAATTAATTTAACCATAAAAATGTTTAGTCTCCAGTGAAGTTTGCATTTTACCCACTATCCCATCATCATTTGTGGTTCATTCTTTTGTTTGATTCAAAATTGTTGGGCAATGGGTGGTTTGCTCCTTTGAAGTATAGGTTAATTAGGGTTATATTTATTTTAACTAACCATTATGGTAAAAAAATATTTTTTTTAATAATGGGATGAGAGGTGGTAAGGAATGCACAATGATGTCTGGGTTTTTTGTTAGTTACAGTGTCATGAAGTTTGGAAACTGCTGGTTGATGCTAACATCCAGACACCTAATAAATAGTAACTGTAGACTGCTCTAGATCATATTTCAGTAAATATCCAACGAGTGTCTGTTATTTCATGTAAGCCATCTAGAGTCTATTATTTCTATTTGTTTAACAGGGACAGGATTGTGATGGAGGCTGAGGCAGAGGCTGAGGCCATCAAGGTGAGTTTTGAATTTATCCCTGAGAGTGATTTCCCCTGTTTTGTGTTTGGTTTTGTTTTAATAAAGGTATCAGTCTTATTGCTCATTCAGGAAAAATACGCTAAAAAGTTAAACTAAAAGATACTGATACTTGGAAGTTTTAATAGTAAACAGTTTTAAAAAGGTATTGTACATTCTCAGTTGAAAGGTGAAGCTGAGGCTTTTGCTATTGAAGCCAGGGCTAAGGCTGAGGCAGAGCAGATGGCTAAGAAGGCTGACGCCTGGAAGGATTACCAGGATGCTGCCATGATTGACATGGTTCTGGAGATGCTCCCTAAGGTAATCTACGGTATCATCAACCTAAAAAATAACTGGACGATTTTTTTAAATTATATTTTTTTTTTTAGAACGAGCCGACCCGCAGCATATCATACGCCGCTATTTAGTTGTTTTATTTTCTACTTTTCATAATTTGTGAATTCGACAGTACCAATGCTGCCACTGAAAATATTTGCTTTAAAACACTAACCCCCCCCCCTTTCCCCTAACCCTGACCCTACACCCCCCCCCCCCCCGTGAAAGCAGCCTCCTCTTAGTTATTTCTTAGTTACCTCCTGTAAGTTTAAAATCGAACTAAATTATCTGCCCCTAATAGCTTTGTAAACATTTAGTGTGACCACAGCTCACCAGACAATGTGGGGGTGGGGTGGGGGTGGTGGTGATAGTGATAGAGAGAAAGAGAAGGGACTGCAAGGAGGCGCTTGCAGCTTGTTTTCTAAAGGCTCCCAGAAGAGAATCATATATATAGATATATTTATTTCTGGTTTCAAACTTAAAAACATTTTTAAACATTCCAGATTGCAGCTGAGGTGGCCGCCCCACTGACCAATGCCAAGAAGGTGACAATGGTCTCAAGCGGCAAGGGAGATGTTGGTGCCCTCAAGCTGACCAGTGAGGTCATGAGCATCATGGAGAAGCTGCCCAGTGTTGTTGAGAATCTAACTGGCATCAGCATTGCTAAGGTAAATTTGTGTTGCTAGATTAGTTACATCACAAGCTATTGAGTTACATCAACATTGCTAAGGTAAATTTCTGTTGCTAGATTAGTTACATCAAGATTACTAAAGCAATTGAGTTACATCAGCATTTCTAAGGTAAATTTCTGTTGCTAGATTAGTTACATCACAAGCTATTGAGTTGCATCAGCATTGCTAAGGTAAATTTCTGTTACTAGATTAGTTACATCACAAGCTATTGAGTTGCATCTGCATTGCTAAGGTAAATTTCTGTTGCTAGATTAGTTACATCAGCATTGCTAAGGTAAATTTCTGTTGCTAGATTAGTTACATCAAGATTACTAAAGCAGTTGAGTTACATCAGCATTTCTAAGGTAAATTTCTGTTGCTAGATTAGTTACATCAAGATTACTAAAGCAGTTGAGTTACATCAACATTGCTAAGGTAAATTTCTGTTGCTAGATTAGTTACATCAAGATTACTAAAGCAGTTGAGTTACATCAGCATTGCTAAGGTAAATTTCTGTTGCTAGATTAGTTACATCAAGATTACTAAAGCAATTGAGTTACATCAACATTGCTATGGTAAATTTCTGTTGCTAGATTAGTTACATCAAGATTACTAAAGCAATTGAGTTACATCAGCATTTCTAAGGTAAATTTCTGTTGCTAGATTAGTTACATCAAGATTACTAAAGCAATTGAGTTACATCAACATTGCTATGGTAAATTTCTGTTGCTAGATTAGTTACATCAAGATTACTAAAGCAATTGAGTTACATCAACATTGCTATGGTAAATTTCTGTTGCTAGATTAGTTACATCAAGATTACTAAAGCAATTGAGTTACATCAACATTGCTGTGGTAAATTTCTGTTGCTAGATTAGTTACATCAAGATTACTAAAGCAATTGAGTTACATCAACATTGCTATGGTAAATTTCTGTTGCTAGATTAGTTACATCAAGATTACTAAAGCAGTTGAGTTACATCAGCATTGCTAAGGTAAATTTCTGTTGCTAGATTAGTTACATCAAGATTACTAAAGCAATTGAGTTACATCAACATTGCTATGGTAAATTTCTGTTGCTAGATTAGTTACATCAAGATTACTAAAGCAATTGAGTTACATCAGCATTGCTAAGGTAAATTTCTGTTGCTAGATTAGTTACATCAAGATTACTAAAGCAATTGAGTTACATCAACATTGCTATGGTAAATTTCTGTTGCTAGATTAGTTACATCAAGATTACTAAAGCAATTGAGTTACATCAGCATTGCTAAGGTAAATTTCTGTTGCTAGATTAGTTACATCAAGATTACTAAAGCAATTGAGTTACATCAGCATTTCTAAGGTAAATTTCTGTTGCTAGATTAGTTACATCAAGATTACTAAAGCAGTTGAGTTACATCAACATTGCTGTGGTAAATTTTGGTCTCAGAGTTTGTAACATCAGCATGGTTAAAATCAATTTTGGTCCTAGATTTTGTAACATCAGCATGGTTAAAATCAATTTTGGTCCTTGATTTTGTAACATTAGCATGGTTAAAATTAAATTGTCAGATTTAGTTACATCAGCACTGCTAAGGTAAATTTTGGTTGCCTTATTTAGCTTTCAACAATGTGTAATTATTTTATTTCCTCTCTTTGTATTTTATAAGTTTTATTTCTTTATTGCTTCAAGTATTAAAAAATGATTACTGTCCTGATTTTATCTACAGTCCATGAAATCCACATCAAGAAAATAAATGAGGTGTTGACAGCCACACCCACTGTATGCCCTAGGCTCAGCAATATTCTTCCCACCACACACATCTGTAGTCAACAACAGAAAGAGCTGTCTTGATAAATTTCTATGATCCAGCTGTCACAGAGTAGTGAAAATATGTAACAAATATTAAGTCATAGTTGTAGTTTTTGTCTGTCATACTTGCATGAAATAACTTTGTAGTTAAGGGTTGAATTTCAAGTTTGACAAAAAAAAAGTTAAAAAATTAATGTATGACCACCCTCTATTTAATATTTCCTTTTGAAGATTTTTTAATCTTGTAATCGACTTTGATGGTATATTTTTGAACCTATAACTCTATCATTACATTAATAACAATCTTTTAAATAACATTGCATCAAATTAAATCACTTAACAAATGTAAAAACCTTTTCTTTCCATGCTTTGTTACTAATGTATTCTTATATTTAGTTCCCTTCCCATTTTTTATTTTACTCCATCTATTACTAGTTTTTTTGTTTGTTTCATAACCAGTGTAATGACTTTATGTTTGCTATGTAAAAAGCTTTAACAAATTTTTTTTAATATATTAAAATGTGATAAATGGTTGTACCTTATAAAGATGTTTTTTTATAGTTGGATAATTTATTTTAAAACGTCATTTCAATGTGTTGTATTTTTCGGTTGGCTTTTACAAACTGGACTACAAGAAATGTTTACATTTTAAAAATAACTCTATTGAGTGTTTAAAATTGTTCTTTTAACCATTAGGTAACTTGTTTTTTTTTTCAGCTGGAGATCACATTTAAAAAAAAAATCAGTACACTATTGAATTTAAAGAAAAAAAAAGTAAATTATTTTCTGTTTAAACAGAGGGGGCTGTTAAAAGAAATAGATTTGTTTTAGACCCAATGTTTTAGCCTGAGTATTACAACTCTGATAGAAGGCAGCTTAGTTTTCATCTCTCTCTGTATAAAGTTTCATTTTTTTTTTTCTTAATCATTTGTTGTACAGATATTGTCTTTTTAAAATTTCTTCTTCATCCCACACTTATATATGTACATTTGCTTTAAATTATTTTCATTAAATCTTGTCATAACACATCTAAGTAGATTTTTTTTTTAACTGGTGAGATTATAGTTTTGAGTTTTCAATGGATATAATTGTGCTTTACTGTGTCCATCAAATTATAAAAAGCTACTCAGAAGTTTTAGAAATATATCCTGATCAATTTTTACTTGAACACTTGTGGTCTATTTGATATGTTATAAAACTTTCTTTTCCATTCAAGCCTTTAATTGCCTTTTTCATTTTAATATCATTAAATATTCATTGCATTAATCATCAGTACTGTTATGATTTTTTGATAATAATCATTTGTAGATGTTTTTCTCTAAAATGAATGTGTTTCGATTTCAAATGATTAATTGTAATTATATTTTCTTTTGCGTCCTGTATCTTTATTTTAACCGCCATTTCTATTATGTAACAAGTTTTTATTTTTAAAAAAAATGAATATTCAAAGTATTAAAATCAATAGGTTTTTTTTTTTCAATACTCTACATGTAGATTTACAAACTTCAACATGGTAGGTTTTCATAGATTGTTCGGCAGTCACTGAATCTCAGACATTGTGCAATATCTCCTTAGGAAATTTTTAAAAATCTGTTGCGTTGTGGGAAATGTTTATTTGAAGTGGAGGATGAGGTGGCTAAAAGGGGTTGATGTGGAGGCCACAGTGTGTCTTGTCTGTTATTTTTCTGTGTTATTGTCCTGTGTGTTTTATGTACTTGGAGACAATCTGTTATTTTTCTGTGTTATTGTCCTGTGTGTTTTATGTACTTAGAGACAAAAAAAAACAACTGTTTTTGTTCCTGTGCCTTTTTTGTTTATCCCACAATGTACAAATTTACCAATAGTTAGGTCATTAGAACACTTTTCACTAGACACTTCAAACACAACTGTTAATACTGAACCTGATACATTTGAAGAAAAATTATCTGGCGGGACTTTGTACTTCATTTTTTTATGTTATATATGTTCCCATTTTTTAGTATTATTATTATTATCATGTGCTTGAATGCATCATTATTATATTAGTCACCTTCCCTCAGTATTGGCATTACAATTAAATTGTCTAATTGTTATGTTTTAGAGATGGGTATATTCAGTTGACTGACTTTACTTTTTGATATTTGTGTATCTGCAAATCCAGACAAGTGTTCTAAAACAGTTGAGTGACATCATTCATTTTTTGGTAAAGGAACTCCACTTTTATTTTTGTCATTTATTTCCTACAACTTTTACTTCGGTGAATTATTTACATCAAAGATCAATATGAGAGATAGAACAATAGCCATTTCACCTCCATTCAAAGTGACAGTTTTAAAGGTGTTGTCAACCATATATGTTTTTATTCCTCAGGTTATATCTTGAGTTGTTATTTTTTTACTTGCTAAACTTGGCTTGATAAACAGTTGCTCATGGAATAAGTTGTTCCAGCTCATTTGCCTGCTAGTTTGATGAAATTTGAATTATACGCAATGTGAAGCATAATGTTTGTATTTTTTACACTGCTAGCCTACTATAATGAGACACAAATTAAAACTTAATAAATGACATCATTCCTTTAGTTATACAAATGGCAGTTTGGCTTACTTGTTGTAAGATTACTTATGTTGGTATAGACATAACTGTTTAAGTGTATTGCACTAAGATCATTGATAGATAGATTTCACTAGTCAAAATGTGAACATCTTAATATTATTTTTTTTTGTTGGAATATTTTATGTGAATTCTACATGTTCTTCATCTGTACAGAATTATTGTTGTGTAATTCGTTACATGTATTTTCACTCAACTCAATATAAACTTTTCATATTTTCAAACAAGTTTCCATGCCTTCATTCTTATTTTTAATGTTGTTTTGTAACAAGTTTTAATTTCTTGTTTTTGATGTTTGAGCTGGTGGCTGTTGTTGTCTGGGTTGTGTTTTGAGTGGTTGTGTTTTGGTTGTGAATTGGTGTAGTCTTTTTCATAATTTGACTTAATGAAAAAAAAAAGAAAAAGCACTCAAAGTAAAGATATATATTTAAGTTTTATTTCTTAAAATTGCATGTATTTAATAATTAAGTGTGTTAATCATGATGACATTTTAAATAAAAATTACAATTTAGTAAACAGTATACATTAAATTTAAATACAGTTAAAAAATAATAAAGAAGAAGACCACACCTTATAATCTGATGTGTTCCCATTGGCAGTAAACCATTTATTTATTTTGATGTTTAGCAAAAGTTAATAACCTTGGCTTTGGAATTTGGGAAAAAAATTATTCAGAAGGTACTTGGAAAAAACTTTTATGTGACATGTGTTCACAAAAGTTTTAAAAATATTCATAGATAGCTGAAGCCTAATCACATTTGTTACTGTTTTTTAAAAAAAAATGGAGCATTGATTTGGATGGAGAAGGGGTTGACTGGGCTGCAGAAATAGTCCTATGATCTTCATTTACCTCAGAATGTTGTCTGACAAGTTAGTCACAGCAACTGTAACAAGATATGAAAGTATACATAGACCTTGTAAAAAATACAGGTTAATTTTACCCACTCGAATGTATACTCTAAACTGGCACATACACACATATACACAACCATACATGGTTTTATCCATTTTATACACAGACACACATTACTGTCATAGACATAATATAGCATAATTGAAATTAAAATCACAATTTATTTGTGAATTGTAAACTTACATATAAAGAATTACATACAATGTAGATTAATACATTTCAATATTTCACTACTTAGTTGCTGTGGTTAATATAATTGTGTTCATTAATAAAAATAGCCCTCTATTGCATTTTAATAATTGTTTTAATGCAAACTCTAGCTAAAAATGTAGTTTGAGCATTAGAGGGTTAATGACTATAATTAAAATCAAGTTTGCAATAAGTAGCCTGTGAATATTCCCATGGCCTGGAGTAGCAGGTGATGAACAAGAGGTAGAACAAGACTCGTTAGGGGTCATCCATTTATGACGTCCACATTTTTATTTTTATTTTGGACACCCCCCCCCCCCAAGTCCACTCAATTCCCTTTTAAAAGTCCACTTGCGTCAGCAAAAGTCAATTTTTTTAGACCCCCCCCCTCCCCGTGTGAACGTCATAAAAATGGATGATCCCTTAGTTGACATAAAAAAATAAAAAGCTGACACATCATTAGCAGTGGGGTGGAATGAGGATAAGTAAAATATCTAAGAGTGATTTAATACAATTATTTACATAAATAATAGAGGATGTTTTTTTTTGTAACAAACACACATTTGTTTGGGTGTTTTTGGAATTTTATAAGCAGGCCAATTTTCTTTTATAAAAAAATGGTAATTTAGAGGAAGGTAAGGAGAGGGGTAGGCTGATTTGAGACCAGAGTTTCTTCCAGGCATCATTTATATAGTTTATATAGAAAATATATACTTTTAAAAGTGTCCGCCCCCCCCCCCCCCGGAGAAAAAAGTCTGGAAGAAACACTGTTTGAGACATCTTTTAAAAAGGGTGTGTGTGTGGGGGGGGGGGGGGGGGGTAGTGTGGTCTGACTGTGACCATGGGGAGGGAGGGATAGGCCTGTTTTAAAAAAACCATAATGTCATTCATCTAACCTCTTTTTTCTTTCAGATTCAGTTTAGATAGAATTTAAAAAAAAATGACTAAACAGTTATTTAAACTTAACTCGGACAACATTTTACATGAGAAAATGAATTATTAAAATATCATCAATCTTTAAGACAATCTGAATCATAACTATTATATTGTAATCTGCAGATTTAACAGCAAGAAAGACTACTGGATTCACCTTTACACACCAGCAGTTAAAATGCTATAGTTTAAAAAGATTCTTTTATTCATTTTAACATTTTTTTTTCAATAAATAATGTAAGGCACACATATTACCTAGAAGTATCACATTTAAATAACTTTGGTGAAAGATAAGAATATTTGTGGCACAACCTATTATAAATAAATTTATTTTAAATTACAAAGTGACAGTAAGTTTAAATAATTGGACATTAAAATATTTATCCAGAAAGGTAAAAAGTTGGAGTTTGATTTATGAATAATAATTTAGCTGAGATATCACTTTAAAATAAAGAATGTTATCACAGACAGTTTTTTAGGAAAAATGGGTATTTGTGACAATTTGAGTAAAACTATAATATATTATGATTTGAATAAAATCTGTTGAGATAAAATGGAATGTGAATATAAATAATAAACATAGGAAATAATAATCAGATTTTAATTCAACTGCTTTGATTTGTTCCATTTCTAAAAATATATGTATTCAAATTATACTGTTTTTTTTTTAGTTTGGGAATATCTGTATATAATGTAAAACATCACAGGATAAATGGAAAAAAATCAACAATAAAAAAGTTGACTGGAATATCAAAAAGCTGGACGGATATTGACATTTTAAAATATTTAATACAGATAACACAATGTAGTTTATATCTATTTAACAAGTATATACAATTAAAAGTTGTATATTTAAATTTGTGTTTCGACATTTGTTTTCTAGATCTATATCCTAAAATTTAAATTAAAAAATCATTCTGTAGTCCAAAAGGAGATAAAAAAACAAAATTAATGAAACAGCAGAAATATATTTCAGCTGTCAGTGAAAATTCATTTATAACATACTGATATTTTTTCTTTAAAAAACATTACAATATGGATAAATATTATAAATCAAATAATATAATATTGATCTATACAAAGTAATCTATATTTTCACTAATAGTTTTAGCAAAAAGAATAGTAGGTAATCTTGTATTAACAGCTTAAATGTCCATAAATGTGACAATTCTATAATCATTTACTGAACACTTCACAACTGATTTGAAATGTTCTGATTGTGAATGACTTCTCATTAATGCTAGCCACAACAAAAGAACACTTACAATTACTGGTTAATCTAGCAACAAATTAGCAGTTATTGGTAACTTCAGCACAAGGTTAGTTGTAAACCATAAATCAGTTTAGCCACAGGACAGTCCAACTGTAGGAAAATGTAGCCAAAGATTTTATCTAACCATAGGTCATTCTAACCATGAATCCAGACTAACTATTAATTTTCTTTACTTTAGTTAGCTAATCTAATTCCATATCTTATTTGCAGATAACACAAACAAATCAACAAATAAAATAATCTTTAAAGATCTACTACCATAGGATACATGTTAGAATTTTTCAACATAAATAAATCCAAAATAGACACTGCTAATTAAACTGCTAATTAATATGTTGATTACATAAAAACATATACTAAATACATAGTTACATAAAGACTTATTTAAGCTTGCATCAGCTAATTACAGAGTATAACAAAAATAAAAATAACGTAGCTCTTACAAAGAGCAGTATAAAAAAAATAATACAACACAGTTTTCTTCACAACCTGGGTTCTTTGAGCACTATCACCTACTGATATAATCAATTGAGCATAAGTGAAGATACTTCAAATAAATCATTACATATTTACTTTTCTTTTTGCTTTGAATATTTTTCTTAAAATGCAAGACTGAAGCATCATTTTTGGTATTTTAAATTAAAAAAAAATTACTGTTGAAATAAAGATGTTTTTATGATATTTTTGTTTTGTTTAATATATTGATCTGTAGCTCAGAAACGATTAACCAAATTAAGCAAATTTAAATTGACAAATCTAATTATTTGTGCCCATTGACGAAATTAAACTAAAGCTTTTAATCCCTTTTCTTTGGAAGCAAACACCATAACTACCAACTTATATTTATCACAGATTTAAAACACAACCAGTTAGTATTGAGTTGTCTGGTTTCCTCAGCAGTCCTTTACCAATCAACAATGTCATTGTGAGTAGTAGCCTGGTGGTCAGTGCAAGTGTCCTGTGGCACTCACCAGTAGGACGAGCCGTAGTCTCTTCTCTCACTGGAGCTGCTGAGCTCATATCTTAACTTGCCCAGCAGCTTGTTGGTCAGTCTGCTGATGTCCATAGAGAGGCTCAGGCTCTTGTCCAGGCTGATGTCATCATCCCCTGACTGTCAGGTGAGAGCAAAGGTAAGTGTTTTAATGCTGGGAGCTTTGGTCAATGTGGGGGAGTGGAGGGAGGGGGGGGGGGGCAGAATGTTGATAATCATAATAGTGTTGGTCTAAATATGGGGGAGAATGATGGCTATCATGATATAGGGCAGATAGAGGGCAGAATGATGGCTATCATGATATTGTTGGTTTAGATAGGGGGAGAAGGATAACAATTATGATAGTTTTGGTCAAATTAGCAGAACCATCCTAACAGGTTTGGTCAAGCTAGGGGGAATAATCAGAACAGTTGGGGAAAGAATAAAAGCAGAACATGTTAAATAAAAAAAAAAAGAAATAATCATAAAACAGAATTTAAATGAACATTTAAATATAACTAACTATAAAACAGAATTTAACTAAATATTTAAAATCACTCAAAGAAGAAAGAAAAAAAACTTTTTATCAATATTTAAAATCTTCAGAAAAGAATGATTAAAAAATTAAAAAATAAGGGAGATAATTTAAAGACCATTTAAAATCAACCCACCTCACTAGAAGATCCGCTATGGCGCCGATAGCTGCGACTTCCACTTCTGTGATGGGACCTGGCTCTTGTCCTTCCTCTGGACAAGCTATGAGTTCTATGAGAAGGTAGGTGTGTTAGTAGGTGATAATAACACAGGTAAACATGGGACAAGTTACGAGTTCTATTAGAAGGTAAGTGTGTTAGTAGGTGATAATAACACAGGTAAACATGGGACAAGTTACGAGTTCTATTAGAAGGTATGTGTTTTAGTAGGTGATAATAACACAGGTAAACATGGGACAAGTTACGAGTTCTATTAGAAGGTAGGTGTGTTAGTAGGTGATAATAACACAGGTAAACATGGGACAAGTTACGAGTTCTATTAGAAGGTAAGTGTGTTAGTAGGTGATAATAACACAGGTAAACATGGGACAAGCTACGAGTTCTATTAGAAGGTATGTGTTTTAGAAGGTGATAATAACACAGGTAAACATGGGACAAGCTACGAGTTCTATCAGGAGGTAACAGGTGATAAAAACATAGGTAAACATGGCACAAGCTATGAGTTCTATCAAAAGGTAACAGGTGATAAAAACATAGGTAAACATGGGACAAGCTATGAGTTCTATCAGAAGGTAGGTGTGTTAGTAGGTGATAAAAACACAGTTAAACATGGGACAAGTTACGAGTTCTATTAGAAGGTATGTGTTTTAGAAGGTGATAATAACACAGGTAAACATGGGACAAGCTACGAGTTCTATCAGGAGGTAACAGGTGATAAAAACATAGGTAAACATGGCACAAGCTATGAGTTCTATCAGAAGGTAGGTGTGTTAGTAGGTGATAAAAACACAGTTAAACATGGGACAAGTTACGAGTTCTATTAGAAGGTATGTGTTTTAGAAGGTGATAATAACACAGGTAAACATGGGACAAGCTACGAGTTCTATCAGGAGGTAACAGGTGATAAAAACATAGGTAAACATGGCACAAGCTATGAGTTCTATCAAAAGGTAACAGGTGATAAAAACATAGGTAAACATGGGACAAGCTACGAGTTCTATCAGAAGGTAACAGGTGTTTTAGAAGGTGATTAAAACATAGGTAAACATGGGACAAGCTACGAGTTCTATCAGAAGGTAACAGGTGTGTTAGAAGGTGATAAAAACATAGGTAAACAGGGGACAAGCTACGAGTTCTATCAGAAGGTAACAGGTGTTTTAGAAGGTGATTAAAACATAGGTAAACATGGGACAAGCTACGAATTCTATCAGAAGGTAACAGGTGTTTTAGTAGGTGATAAAAACATAGGTAAACAGGGGACAAGCTACGAGGTCTGTCAGAAGGTAACAGTTAGATGTGTTTAAGTAGGTGATAAAAACATAGGTAAAATTGTAGGCTAAGAATTTCATTTTTTTTCTGATTTTAGAAATAAAATTTATGTGGTCAGAGTAACGTGATGAACTTTCTACAGGGTTACAAAAGTCAGTGACTTAAATTAAGTAGTGCTAGAATTGTCAGTGTCATACTCTTCTCCATGGTCAGTATGAATGATAACTTCAAAAAATGTGTGCAAGGAGAGAGATGGTAAAAAAATCTGACTTAAAATAAAAAATAGGTGGTTCACCTTCTGGTGCCCCTCTCCTCCCCGTCCGAGTCACTCATCTGGCTGTACTCCCTCACTCGGTAACGTGATCTTGACTCAGGGGTGTAGCTCCTTTTACGTGAGGTAGACCTTGACCTTGGACGGCTGGGTCTAACAGGTGAGACATCCCTGTGTACATGAAGATTAAATTAATTATTAATTAAACCAGGATAAACTAATTATTTTTTAATTTAGTTTAACTAGGATATTTAACCTATGTCTGAGGACTATGTATGTTGTTAATAGAACATATACAATCAATAGTTAATTGCTCAGTTATGGAGATTGGATGAAAAGTTGCATTATTTTACTAAATTTAAATTTCCTAAGAATGTTAACTCAATGCTGTTTTTTTTTTTAATGAATCGTTATAGTTTTAGCTTACCAAATATGGTATTTCTGTTCTAGACAATAAATAGTCAAGATATATTTTCTGATTGGTTTTTTTTTTACAGAGCAAACATTTAGATAAAGGTACTTCACAAGGATGAACATAGGACAAATCAAAAATGGATATAGGTTTGTGATCTCATGCAAAATTATTACATTTTTAAAATAATCATGTCTTTTGTATGCTTTGAATTATAGTGGAGTAAAAATTAATTAATTTCATGGTGACTTTTTAATGAGAAGTGTGAAATTGTGGATATTTAAAAACTTGAAAGTTGATTGGTAATATTTAATCAAAATAACATCAAATTGTAGTGAATTTATCAAATAACATGAAATTGCAAAGGACCCTTAAATATGAAATGAAGTAATTATAAATGTCAATTGATGAACAGGTCTATTCTATGCAAATTTAAAATAAATACATTTTTAAATCTCTAATAGAACAGTGAAAAAATTATCTTCCTTAGTAAATTTTTTCTGAAATATTTTGTTTTACTTTGTAAAACAAAGTAAAAAAATAGTTTTTCAATGAAACTGCAATAGTATAATGTGAAAATGTATTAAATGGGGGATGTTACATGTAACATAAAAACTAAAAGATAACAAAATTTTGACCTGGCACTTGGGTAAGGTGGAGGTACCCTGGCAGGCGGTGGAGCTGTGGTTGGTGGAGGGGGTCTGAACACAAATCCACCGTGGGTGTGGAAGCTTGATCCCCCACACATGGGACAGGACTGGCTTCTGTATGACACACCTGGGTGCTGACTCACCTGCGGAGGTTGCAGAGGTTTAGTTCACATTTTACAAACAAATAGTCAATAAGATGTAGTGGTCGGGGGTCTAGGACATTAACCCCCTGTCAATTACCCCCCCCTCCCCGAACATATCCCCCCTGACATTACCCCTCTGAGAAATTATACCCCCGGGGAATTACCCCACTCCCCCAAGCTCAAGAATCCTGACTCTAACTCCAACTCTAGACTTATATATTACCTTAATTCTAACATTAAGAAAAAGCATAAACCTAAGCATTCACCTCAGCCTAAAACTAAACCCAAACTCAACCCCAAAGTTAGACATTAGTTTAAGCCTAACCCTGACTCTGACTATTACCATAACCCTAACCTTATAATTTATCTCGCAATATGAAAATAAATTTAAATCCTGCATAAGGTAGCCATACACCTTGTATAACCTTAGTAACGTGTGAGTCTACATTGCAGGTGAATCAGTTTAGAGTCTCACCTGAAAGGATAAGTATGAAGCCCAGACAAGGTGTTATAGGAGGGATCAGCCCCCCCCCCCCCTCTCTTTACAACTACATCACATGGATCAATGTCAGAGTGAAGGAGTAGGCTACAAGGGGCTCTGACATGAAGGTGGGGAGGGGGGGTGGAGTCCAGATTATTAGACTGACCAGGATACCTAAGCTAAACAGGAAGGAATACTTACATCATCATATGACTGGGGGGGGAGGGGTGGAGTCCAGATTATTAGACTGACCAGGATACCTAAGCTAAACAGGAAGGAATACTTACATCATCATATGACTGGGGGGGAGGGGTGGAGTCCAGATTATTAGACTGACCAGGATAACTAAGCTAAACAGGAAGGAATACTTACATCATCATAGGACTGGGGGGGGGGGGAGGGGTGGAGTCCAGATTATTAGACTGACCAGGATACCTAAGCTAAACAGGAAGGAATACTTACATCATCATATGACTGGGGGGGGGGGTCCAGATTATTAGACTGACCAGGATACCTAAGCTAAACAGGAAGGAATACTTACATCATCATATGACTGGGGGGGGGGGTCCAGATTATTAGACTGACCAGGATACCTAAGCTAAACAGGAAGGAATACTTACATCATCATATGACTGGGGGGGAGGGGTGGAGTCCAGATTATTAGACTGACCAGGATAACTAAGCTAAACAGGAAGGAATACTTACATCATCATAGGACTGGGGGGGGGGGGGAGGGGTGGAGTCCAGATTATTAGACTGACCAGGATACCTAAGCTAAACAGGAAGGAATACTTACATCATCATATGACTGGGGGGGGGGGTCCAGATTATTAGACTGACCAGGATACCTAAGCTAAACAGGAAGGAATACTTACATCATCATATGACTGGGGGGGGGGGTCCAGATTATTAGACTGACCAGGATACCTAAGCTAAACAGGAAGGAATACTTACATCATCATATGACTGGGGGGGGGGGTCCAGATTATTAGACTGACCAGGATACCTAAGCTAAACAGGAAGGAATACGTACATCATCATATGACTGTGTGCGGGTGGCAATGTATCCTGCTTGGTGCGCTGTATGTGGCCGGGGTGCACGACGTATCTGGTACCATGGTCTGTGCTGAGGCTGACCTGTTGACCTTTGCTGATAGCCTAGTGGAAACAAATTGTTTCGTTCAGCTGGCGCTTAACTTTAGATAAATAATTCTAAGAAATATCTATAATTCAATTGCCAGCTGCAATGTTTCCTTTGTATTAAAAAAAATGCAATTTTTATACTAGAAGATATCTGAAGTGGGTAAAATGAGTGCAGAACATCAAACAGAAAAATAAACCAAAGAAAGTGAAATTATTCCAAAGTTTACTGTTTACTGAATTTGATTTGTTTACTAATGGACTAATATATATAGGACCCACAAAAAATGTTCTGTAAAAATTACTTTACAAGCTGAACTCCGTTACTGATAACATCCCAAGAGTTTAGGCCACAACAGATTTTTTCTTACTTCAGGTAACGTTACAAAAAATTCATCTCAATTAGATATACTCTATTAAGTAAAAAACTGCCTTCATTAAAATACATTTTAAACTAAGCCTTTGATTACAGATACTGCAATGAATTTTTCTATTCCTAACACTTCAGTTTTAAAGAAAGGATGTGAAATATAATAATTCTTTTTAAAATCCATGTACTACAGAAATAGAAAATGGTGTTATGTAAGCAGAAATCAATCACTTTCAGGTTACCAAAAGGAAGATTATATAAGCTGGTAAACAGGGATGTTGGAGGGAAAATAACACAATTTGTTACTTTGTGCAGGATTATACATGAAGAAGGTTAGAATTAAATATGATAAACACAAAGGAAACACAGAATTTTTGTTTTCTAATATATGTGGAGAAAAAAGGAAATAAGGTTTTAAAGAATGGTCACATCAATTATGTGGGGTTAAATACTGGCTAAAATCGACAGAAGCAGGATTATACACGAAGAAGGTTAGAATTAAACATGATAAACACAAAGGAAACACAGAATTTTTGTTTTCTAATATATGTGGAGAACAAGGGAAATAAGGGTTTAAAGAATGGTCACATCAATTATGTGGGGTTAAATACTGGCTAAAATTGACAGAAGCAGGCAGCATTAATTCATTTATATAGATTTGTTCACAATTTTTTCTATCGATAGTTAAGTTACACCAAATATAACACCAAGGAGTAAATAATTCTTCTATCAATAGTTAAGTTAAATTACACCAAATCCAACACCAAGAGGTAAATTATTAAGCAAACAATGTGTTAAGACTTGCTGGTTATTGACTTTCTGTCTTTTAAAAAAAAATGAAGCATAGAATTGAATCATTGCATACATGTTCATAAAATGAAATCACCGTCATTACCAGTTGATAAAATAAAAATGTTTTTTTTTAGATTTAGTTTTTTTTATACGAATAATGTATACTTTTATATCATAAATTTATGCACAACTAATCTAAAATTAAATCATTTTAACCCTTTATCTACTGACGGTACTTATAAGTACCACTTTTATCAAGCGCCTGTATTATTTTTTTCCCACGTTTTCTTTAACTTGCTTTCGCGTCCGGTTCTCCAATCAAATCTTGCGATCGAAATTTCTGGCACTTCCCAGTTAGCTAGCGCGCTGAAATTTTCAGGGAAGCTTTGTTTTGGATGACAATAGAATATTCATTTGTTATTATTACTAAATTGATCCATGGAAACATTTTATTGAGCATTTTAGACCGCTATATAATTGTAGTAAAAACGTGGGGAAAAGGGGACATAACCCAGTAACTGTAATTTGATGAAAACAAGGTTCGGTACTTTCCCTCTTTTTACTGAGTAGTGTTCACACGGTGGTAACAACTGGTGGCCAGTATGGGGGAGACGATATGGTCGAGTGGTTGGGTACAGGATTGCTATCCCACTCGACACGGGTTAAAATCTATGTGTTCTAGTCAGTAACGTATTCACACAACGTGTTTTTTACAAGTTGTCTTTGAGTTGTCTTCGTTTACCCAAAAAAAAAAAAGTGAAAAGATAAAATCGATAGCAAGATTTTAATGCAAACAAACAGACAAAGACTAAAAAGTAGAAAATAATTATCATTAAAAAAGTTTAAAAAAACCCACGTTTTCTGATTGAACTAAAAAGTAGAAAATAAATACTATACATCACAATAATGAAAGCGATCACTCTACTATAAGCGATCAAAAACGTGGGGCGCCGTGATTTTCTTACAGTTTCCAATACTGTTGACTCTCTACAAGCTCCCTAATAAAAGTCAATAGTATTATCTAATCAATAGTAATATAACTTTTACTTCGGCGCCCCACGTTTTTCATCGCTTATAGTAGAGTGATCGCTTGCATTATTGTGATGTATAGTATTTATTTTCTACTTTTTAGTTCAATCAGAAAACGTGGGTTTTTTCAAACTTTTTTAATGATTATTATAGTCTAAGTTGAATTTTAAAATTTTTTGATATAATGAATAGTATTATCTCCCCTGAGTATCAGGTGGTTGGCCAGATCGACTTATTTTGAAAATTATCCCTGCGGTGGTATTTTCAATTTCTTTCCGTATCAGTAGTTCACAACTGTGCATTACAGATCTCACACTTGTTCTTAATTTTGCTTCCTTTTACCTTAATATTCAACTTTTCAAGCCAAAATATTTTTTATTGGCATCTTCAATAGTCAGGTAAGTGTTTTTAACTTATTAGATCAATGTTTACACGAGAACTTGTGAGAACCGTTAGGCCACACAGTCATATTTTTAGGATTTCTTGAAAATAAACGTTTTTCGATGTGGAGTGACATACTAATTATCTTGATAACCAATTATCAAAGTTTTGTTAAAAAAGGATATTTATACATTCAGAAGATCTTTAGCATAAGGTTTACCTAACCAAAATTTAGATTTCTTTTAGTAAAAGAATAACAAGAATGAAGATAGTAGTTGCAGGCTAGTTTACAAGGCTACTAAAGTTAACTTGTATGGCTAAGTCCATTTGTTTGTTATATGTATTGCAGAAAATTGTCTTGCATATAATAACTAGTATGTACGGAATGTATACTCGTAGACTAGTAATAGTCCTTACTTCAGCATATAATATAAATCTTTTGGTAAATTTTAATTAGGAGATATAAAACACTAAGTCACAAAGCCTTCTAAACACATGGAGCTCACTTCTATTTATGAAATTTACACTGTAGTGTAGGTCTATCATAACATTCTGGTAGGCTACAATAATATACTAGTAGAAGGGTACTACTAGTACTATTTTCAAAATATTTTTGAGGCTCATTGTAACTTCTATTGGAAGCTTCCAGCAAAAGCAGGTTTAGTTCAGCGACTGTTACTACACCAGAAGGACCGCAGACAAGAATGTGTCACTAAGGAATAAGGAAGTAAGACGTGTCTGCACCTTTTTCTGTGTTTGGTACAGTCAGAATAAGGTCTAAGTTGTGTGCCCATAGGAAATCCAGTCTAAAACAATACTCACAATATATTTTGAGTTGTGTTTATGTGTGAAATTTATAAAAATGATTGTTATAATGAAAGCCATGATATTAGTTAATAAATTTTACAATTTATTCATGTTTTGTAATTTTTTAATTTTTCTAAAAAAAAAAATGTCCTACATTCCTGACGGTACTTGTAAGTACCAATACCTATTTCGACCATTAAAAATTATCGAAACTAAATTTCCTTCAAATTATGCTTTACGTGTGCCAAAAACAATATAGTAACACACTGTTTCAGACAAAATATCTTTCAGAACTTAATTTCGTAAATAAAGGGTTAATCTGAGATTGTCATTTAAAGGTTTAAAAAAAAGAAAGAGCAGCTTTAAGTATTAAGCTGATTTTATATGTTCATGAATAATTACATGTTAAGCTAGCATATCAAATTTTAAAGTAAAAAATTTATTTTAAAAATTTTACCATTTAAAAAAAAAAAAACAACTGTAGGCCTAATCAACCAGCAAGCCTTAACAAAGCTAATGATGACTGAAGCACAAGTACAAACCAGTGTCACTAAAAACAGCCCTGTCGTCTTCATTGTCAGCCTCTTCACCTGTGCTAGAGTAGATCTTGCCCCCCGCGGGGGTCACAAAATACCCTTGTGTAGACAGCTGCTGTCTCATGGACTCTGTGCTGAAGCGTGATGGCAGGTAGTAGTCGTACAGCGCCGCTGTCTCGGCATCCGCTGGGGCTGCTGTGGCCCCTGCCACACCCTGCTCCATGGCCGCCGCTGCTGCTAAGCCTGGGTCTGACTCCGACTGCTAAAAAAATAAAAATTAAGTATAATAATGTATTTTTTCTGAAGTTAGTCATTAAGTTAATTCAGTTATTATTGTATGGTAGTAGAGGATAGTAGAGCACGTGACTACTGACTTAAAAGACTTGAATTCGAATCTTGCGCTCGAGGCCATAGGATATCCCTGAGTTCATCCAGCTCTGATATGTACATGACTCACATTGAGGAAATAAGGATGGCTGGGCATAGAGTTGACCACACTTTGACTTTATATGTCGAGGTTACAGAAATAGATGAACTCTAGTTCATCTTCCTTAGTTACCACCAGTTTGAAAGGCTAACTTTACTTTTTAAAAATTAAGATAAAAGACTTGGGTAGACAACATCTGCTATACTGACTTAGATAACAAATGGGTAGAACACTTGCTATTAAGGAATTAACTGGGATTTATGAAAATGTGCTCTAGCTAACAAATGTAATATTCCTTTCCCATTCTAATTTTATACATTGAAGAAAAAGATAACTTGAAAACTGTCAAACTTGCTAAAAGTAAACCTCAATGGAGAACTTAAATGTCATCTTACAAGGTAGCAACAAAACAAAAACAAAGAAAGGATGTTAAAATAAACCCAAATAGAAATAATCTGCAGAACAAAGCACCTTGATTCAGCAATAAATTGAAAAGACACTATTAGGTATTGTGAAATACTATAGACAGAAAAATAGCCTCAGGAACATTTATCAAAAGATAACCAAATACCCCCCCTCCTCATCATGGAATAAATCTTCTGAACTTGTTTTCTTAAATAAAAAAAACATTGAACCTACTGGTAAACCTCCTCTTGACTTGCGCTCCTGCCTGCGCTGTCTGATTCTGTCCTTGCCACTTTGCTTCCTGGTGCGCTCCTGACCAGGCAGGATTGGAACCCTGGGGTTCTCAGCATAAGCATCAGCTGCAGCATAGCCCAGGGGAATGTCTCCCCCATCATACTGCCTGTTCTGGGGCAGGCTCCAGTACCACTCATCATACTCCCTCTCCCTGCCGCCAGAAAAGGAATTTGCGCGTCGCCGGGGCATGCGCATGAAACCGTACGGGTCGTCAAACGGGTCGTAAAACTCGGGTTCTTTTCTGCCATCGGCCGCTGGGGGCTGGGATGTCATGTGGATGATCTGTGGGGGTGGGGGAGGCTGGGAGGACTTCTCATGGGCCCTGGCTAAGCCTTCTTTTAATTTTTCTATGTCTGCTTGTAGAGCTTTTAACCTACTGCTACTGTAAGTAGAAAGTTTGAGTACATCCATTAAATCCTCACATTATTTTAAAATGTTGTTATAAAAAACACATCTTTTAAGATGGAAAACATAAATTATTCGTATTTCATCAACACAACTAAAAGCATAGAAGTTTTGTGTCAACTAGATTTAAAACACATGAAAATAATAATTAACTTTTTTTCATGAAATGTACAAAATCATTGTTTCAGTAATTATTTTGGACCAGCAATTTAAAAAAATGTGTTTAGAACCATCATGTCCAAGTAACTTATCTTTAAGCTAAATAATCATCAGAATTGGGAAGACTTAAATACTTCATACAGATTTGAATTATTAACCAAAATGGACACAATGTGTTTGGTAATCCTGTCCAAAATATCTTGTTACTATTATGATTACTGAAGTTCTATACAGCATCAAACTAGCCATTGACACTGGAGGCACTAGTATGTTATTAAGATATATATAAAAGCAAGAAAGGGACATAACCACAAGCCACAACTTTGTTATTATTCAAGTGTAATACAGCATCATATTAAACAGTGATACACCATCAAGGACCATAACTACCTGTTATTAATAACTACATTAAAGTTTGGTAAAGGGTCACTACCTATTATTAACAGCTATATTGAAGTGTGATCAAGAAGCATAACTACCTGTTATTAATATGATACTAAAATGTGATCAAGGGACATAACCACCTGTTATTAACATCTATATTTAAATTTAATCAAGGGCCATAACTACATGTTAACATCTATATTAAAGTGAGATCAAGGGCCATAATCACATGTTAACATCTATATAAAAGTGAGATCAAGGGCCATAACTACCTGTTATTAACATCTATACTAAAGTGTGATCAATGACCATAACTACCTGTTATAAACATCTATATTAAAGTGAGATCAAGGGCCATAACTACCTGTTATTAACATCTATATTAAAGTGTGATCAACGGACATAGCTACCTGTTCTTAACATCTATATTAAAGTGTTATCAAGGGCCATAACTACCTGTTATTGATATCTATGTTAAATATGATCAAGGGACATAATCCCCTGTTCTTAACATCTATATTAAAGTGTGATCAAGGGCCATAACTACATGTTATTTACATCTATATTAAAGTGTTATCAAGGGCCATAACTACCTGTTATTAATATCTATGTTAAATATGATCAAGGGACATAATCCCATGTTCTTAACATCTATATTAAAGTGAGATCAAGGGCCATAACTACATGTTATTAATATCTATGTTAAATATGATCAAGGGACATAATCCCCTGTTCTTAACAACTATATTAAAGTGAGATCAAGGGCCATAACTACCTGTTCTTAACATCTATATTAAAGTGTGATCAAGGGACATAACTACCTGCTGACGCTGGATGCCCTTGTAGTGATGCTGGACCCCACCTCCACATCAGAGCCAACACTCCTCTCCTCGTACTCCTTCACTCTGGCGGCGATCTCTGTGTTCCTGAGGTCATGGGGTAGCAGTAGAGGGGGCGGGGCTGACCCCTCCTCTAACACCTGGTCTGGTCTTGATACTGGTCCTTTCAAGTGAGACTCTATACGGTTTTGTCTGTAGAAAATGTGGGCTTACTTGTAGCTTTACATGTCCATGTGGGATTATTCTTCTTTTTGTTCGTTCTTAATTTTAGTGATGGAAGGGATCGCCTCCAACACAATTATCTATTATATGCTGCACTCATGGCAAAATAAAATAATTTTGTACATATATAAGGTAGCTGAGTTTATAGGCCTACTGTATAAAAAAATATACAATTGTTTTGTAATAAAAAATAGTGATATATAAATACTGAACAGAGGCTAAACACTCACCAAATCTCTTTGCTTTAACAAAAATGAGCAAGTGCTCACCTAAGCTCAAATCTCCTAGCTCATACAATCATGAGCTAAAATTCATCTAAGCTCAATTCTCTCTTGTCTCAGCTCCACAAACATGAGCTAAGAATTAGCTATACTCAAGTCTCTTAGCTCCTACAAAATGAGGTAACACTCACCTAAGCTCAAGTCTCTCTTGTCTTAGCTCCTTCTCGCGCCTAGAAATTTCTCCGGCTGCCCTACTGCTCTGGCCACTCCCAGCACTGCTCCTACGGCTCCTCCCACTCTCCTCACTCCCCCTCCTGGCTCTAGTGGTGAACAGGTCGGTGGTGGGGGAGCCCCTGCTGCTGGGGCGAGGCGGGGTGGCTTGGGATTTTGGTACCTTCACTTGTGAAGAGTTCTCTGTCTCTGTAGATTGTTCTGTTGATGCTTTACTTCCCTTTGATCTTCAGAAAAAAAGTTAAATAATTATGTTAAATATTAATTTTTTTTTTTAAAAGTGTCATTCTTAACAATTGTATTTCATTTGGATGTTGCTTATTTCTATAAAAATGTATCTAGATATATGCGTCAACATGGTTGGTTTGGTAAAGCTCATGGTTGCTTAGCCAAAAAGTCATGAGTTTCAATACCCGGGTAAATGAGGCCCAATAGCTGGGGACAACAACCAATTGAGGAGAGACAACTCCACAACCACGCTGCCCCCAGTTCATCTATGCTGTGATGAATACAAATTATAACCAAACTTTATATCTACATTTCCCCCTTTCCCTAACCCAATCCCAAACATTGCACATTATTCCCTAACCCTCACCCTATCTGTAACCCTAACCCCAATCCTACTCCTTATCAATAGCCTCACCCCAAGCCATATTACTAACTCTATCATTATCTTTATTACCCTATCCCTAACTTATCCTTAAACAGTCCCTATCAGTATGTATTCCTATGAATAAATAACCAAGGATAATGTTCAACTCAGTGGCGTAGCCAGGATCGTCTCAAGGGGGGGGGGGGGGTTTCCAATTTTAACCCGGGGACAAACTTTCAATTTGCACCCCCCCTCAAACTTTCGATTTGCACCCCCCTCATACTTTATCTACTTTGTCTATGGGGGGGGGGGGGGGTTATGACCCCCTAACCCCCCCCCCCCCCCCCCTGCCTACGCCACTGGTTCAACTGCAGTTTATTGGGTGGGAGAAGGGGTTGATGTACACGGCGGTTATTATGGGGGGGGGGGGGGGTAATGAATTCAGTGGGAGTGGGGTTCAATGTGGGAAAAATAAACATAATGTAATCGATTTAAGAATGGTGGAGGGGATTATATCTGCTTCTGCTTTTTTAAAAATAAATATACCGGAGATCGTACTGTAATGTAAGTAAAGATGGTGGCTTATTTTTTTTACTAAACATACAGGGGACTGTACTATACTGTAAGTAAAGATGGCGACTAACTTTGGTTTTGCTGTGGTCTCCTTCTTTACTTCCTCAGTACCAATGGCTTTAGCTGAGCTTGATGTTGCTGATGTTGCTGGTTTGACTGAAGGGGAGGCTGGTGGGGCTGACAACTGTTGACTTGCTTGATCTTTCTTCTTGCTGTCTTTTCTTTCTGGCTTAGCTGTTGCTGGTTGATTGACAGCTCTTGGTGTTGACACATCTGAGTCTAAAATATTTCTTTTTTTATCATTATATATATATATATATATATATATATATATATATATATATATATATTTATATATATATATATATATATATATATATATATATATATATATATATATATATATATAACCCATGCTTCACTACATAATTATTTAATTAATTTTTGGAGGACAAAATACACAATCCACAACCAATCCACATCACCCCACCATACACCCCTAAAACGCAACCCCACCTAGCAACCAACGTTTTAGTTTTCTACAAGCATAGTTCTGGAATTTTAAAATTTTTTAAATATAGAACTTTCAAATTTTGTAAGAGTCCTTATATGACAATTTTTAATATCATTGAACAAACAATATTTCTGAGATAGTGTTACATGTTACGTTTTATAAGATATACAATTACATACTATATTTAAGTATCATAACACACACTGGTAATTACCATAACTTATGGACTATATGGAATAAATCATATGTAAAATGCAATATCAGAGACAATGTGACACACAATAAGTAATAACTCTTATATGAACATCATATCTTAAAGACTATATGTACCACATCATGTATCACATACAATGAGGAAAACACAGAAAGCAGCCTCCTCTTAGTTATTTCTTAGTTACCTCCTGTAAGTTTAAAATCGAACTAAATTATCTGCCCCTAATAGAAACCCGGCTGTACGGCTCTTCGATTTGTAAACATTTAGCTTTGTAAACTTTTAGTGTGACCACAGCTCACCAGACAATGTGGGGGTGGGGTGGGGGTGGTAGTGATAGTGATAGAGAGAAAGAGAGGGGACTGCAAGGAGGCGTTTGCAGCTTGTTTTTGAACGGCTCCCAGAAGAGAATTATATAGATAGATATTTCTGCCTCCAGTGATAAAACAAAAGTAGGTGTGAGACACCCACAGACAAAACCCCACCCACCTGCAGTGTTATCCTCTAGTGTGGCCTCCAGTGATACAACTAAAGTAGCTGCGTGACATCCCCCCCCTCAGACAAAACCCCACCCACCTGCAGTGTTATCCTCTAGTGTGGCCTCCAGTGATACAACTAAAGTAGCTGCGTGACCCCCCCCACCCCCAGAAAATACTCCAGACCAAACCCCACCCACCTGCAGTGTTATCCTCTAGTGTGGCCTCCAGTGTTGACTCTGTCTTGTCCCTCTTCCTTGTCTTCTGTGTCTTACCCCTGGCCGCAGCACTGCTGGACGCGCTGGACACACTGTCCAGGCTGTCATCAAAGCTGCCCTCCCCTCTACTGCTGCCTGGCCCACGACCTGCAAACAACACTAAAATGTTACTGCATTCATATAGGAAAGCTTTTGTTACTTGATTGTTCCTTACAGAACCACTAAAAGCAGCTGATAAAAGGGAAGGGTGGCAAAGCATAATGAAAAAGTCAACAGTGGTCAGTGGCGTAGCCAGGAATTGGTCATGGGAGGTGTTCAAAAATGTTTCCATATGTATATAATCTTATATAATCCTATATATATATATATATATATATATATATATATATATATATATATATATATATATATATATATATATATATACATTTATATATATATGACTATATATATAGGTGTCAGGGTCCGTGGGAGGGGTTATAACCCCCCTAACCCCCCCTTGCCTACGCCTACAATGAACCATGGTTATTGTGTAGATAGATTTCACTCTGGACAGTGGTTCTATAACAAACTTTGAAATGGTAATTTCACTGCTACAGTCAAAAAGCAAATTCAATCAATTGTTCCTTAACCCTTATTGGGGTAGTTAGGGCATCACAGTTGATTACATCATTATTTTTTTGCATCTGTCTTGGTCATTTGCTGCTCTGAGTAGATCTGCAACTGGGGGTCCAGTCCAATCTTGATGTCATCCATCCAGTAACATCTTTGCCTTCCCCTTCTTCTCCCTGGTACAGTGCCCAGTATTATGGTTATGACATTGGTTCATGTGATATGCCCAAACTATCACATAACATTTATCCTTTTATTGTCTGACAATCATTTCTGTTACTTTGATGAAAGGATAGTGTTATCAGTTCTAACAGTTTCCATGACTTTGGTCAGGTACCTAATAGAGCTGTGTTGACTCAGGGACATCCTATGTACATGTTGCCCTGGAAATAACCTCCCTTCTGAGACACACCTCTTACCCTACATGGTAAAAATTATAGTACAAAAAACAAACAAGTAAAAATACAATTTTGAACATGGTGTCAATCTGGTAGATGAAGTAGAGTTCACCTGTTTCTGAGAACTTGACATAAGAAGGGATAGTATGGTCAATTCTATGCTCAGCAGGCTTAACTTTCCACTAACAAGAGTCACAGGTAACCATTATAGTTACCTCACATATTAAACCCCCTACTATAAAAGATTACTTGTCTTCCAGCAATGAAAACAGTAGATCTAGTTGGTGAAAACTTTATCTGAACAAACAGTAGCAACAACTACAGCAATGATGAACTGCCTGCCTACCTTTGCTTCTACTGTGGTGTGTGGCCTGGCCCTTGTCCTTCTTTGGCCTGTCATGTGACCTGTCATGTGATCTGTCATGTGACCTCTCAGAAGGCAGGGTGGATGTGTCTAATGACTCATCTGTTACTGTGGAGCTGTGTGTAAACAATATTAAACTTTATAGCGGATCTCTAATAATTTTGAAAAGAAATATAACTGCTTTAGAGATTGAATTGAGTACTGAATTTGATAAAAACCTCTAGAAATAAAAATCTGGTTAAAAATTCTAGCAGACATAAATATGATGATTATTTCTAGTAGCAATATCAATAGCTTTTACTAATTTTTTTTGGATTCTATCTTTCTTTTTTCTTTTACACTGATGTCCAACTTTACCATTACAGTATAAACACCTTGCACAATAAGAAAACAATATTATTTATTTGATACACATTATAATAACAAACATAAAAAAGCACAAGCAGTCAATCATATACCTCAATTTTTTTATTTCCATTTATGAACTTAAACCCTATACCAATAAGATGAGTTAAAAACAAAATAGGTTCTAAATTGATTGCTTACTAGTAAATGAAACCTAAAATGAGTCATACTTAGTAAAAACTCTGCACTACTTAATAAAACATTTTCTAATTAGTGTAAGTTATATCTTTCTATGTTTGAATATTAGAAACTTAGCGCCTGCTTTAACAATATTTCTCACCTCTCATCTGCTTGGTGCCTAAGTCTCAGAGCCTGTTCCTGTTCCTGACGTTGCTGAACAAATGCCGGAGGCTCCCCCACACCTGACCCCACCATCGACCCTATAAACCCGCTGTCTGCATCATCGGCAGCACGCTGCTTGGTCATTTGTTTGAATTTACCAGGTCCTGGGAGTGCTGCTAGAGCGCCCTCTGTGTCATCGGTGAATGGGTGAGGGTTGCCAGTGGCACCGCTGCTAGTGGCACCAGTGGCCGATGCCCCATAACTTTGAGAACCTCTGGCACCTGGAGAGCTGTGTTGATGGTTGTCGTGGCCAGGTGGTCTGTTGTCAAGCAGGTTGTGTGAGCCTGGCATATCTGGCATCTAAAAAAAAAAACAATACATTTTGGCTTAAATGATTTGTTTTACTTTCAGTAATCCTAACCCCAGAAACAAAACAATACATTTTGGCTTAAGTTTTTTTTTAAATTTCAGTATTCCTAACCCCAGAAACAAAACAATACATTTTGGCTCAAGTTTATTTTTACTTTCAGTAACAGTAACTATAAGCTTAAAAACAATATAATGAATTATGCTCAAGTATTTTTATTTTCAGTATCCGTAACCTTAACCCTAATGACAATATAATGAATATATACGTAAACAATTTTTACTTTCAGTAACCGTAACTCCAACCCTAAAAACTATAGAATGAATTTAGGCCTAAGAATTTTTTACTTTCAGTTTAAAGACTGCATATGACTTAGCCCACTATCTCTAAAGAAACTAACCCTAGCACTGTTCTAAGCTTCTGCCCAACACTTAGCCATAACTCTGAGCCTGGTCCTGGATTCAGAATAGCTAAACTAAGTGTATGAAATGTTGTAATTTAGATTGCTTGCAAAAATCATGAATATATAATTTAAATACAATTTAAATACACGGTAAAAATCAATGTTGAGCTATAAGTAACTAAAGTTATTTTTTCAAACCTGACAGTCCATAGGGCAAGTGAAGTAGAGTTCACCTGTTTATGTGACCTTGGCATATGAAGGGATAATGTGGTCAGCATTATGCCCAGCCGGCTTTACTTTCCATAACATGAGTTAGATACCTATCACAGCTGGGTGGAATTAAAGGAGATTCTACCGACTTGAACCCAGTTTTGAAGTCCAGGACATTTGGGTTACCACTAGGCCATGTCATACTTTTACATTAAATTCAACTTTATTACATGTCATAGTGTACACTGACTGATGGATAGAAATATATTATTGCAAACGCTAACTTTTTTAACACTAGTGTGGTTCAGTAGAAACCAAACTCAATAAATCTGCAATAAATGTCATCATTTTTATTACGTTGAAAACTTGAAGAATAAGGTAAAACAAAGGGAAATCAGGAACACATGTGAAATATGTACAGAACGATTGTGAACTACCGATACAGGTAGAGATTGAAATTGCCGCCACACCAGAAGTTTTCAAAACACATCGATCCCTCCACCTACCGGTTAAGGGATGATTTCGATTTTTTAGATAGTAACATAATAGTAACAATAATAATAAAGCGCTAATAACATTATCAATTGTGAGACCTTAGAAAGCTTGGGATCCCTGAGTTCATGCCCATGACGTTTTGGCCTGGGTAGGTTTGGATTGGTGGTATCATGAGTGTTGAATGAACTGAAAAAAAAAAATAATTTTATAAAAATGTGTTTAGATGAGATAATAAACTTTTCTTTTTGATACTACAATTTTAAGACATTTTAAGAGTGTAATTAATGAAGATAATCTTTTGTTGCTAATTAGCAGTAAAATATTTTTTAAAAATTATTTAAAAAACAAAAAAAAATTTTTTTCTTAGGCCACAAAAGTTGAAATTGAGGTGAATACTAAATCAAGGGAGATAATTATAATCTGACATAAACTGAGTACACTCCCTCCAGCAGTTTTAAAAATATAAAATGGAATATGATGAGTATAGTAAATCAAGGGAGATAGTTACAATTTGATGGTTATTGAGTGATCTCCCTCCAGCAAATTAAAAAAAAATAAAAGTTGTACAAGAGCATAACAGTGGAATGTGAATACACAATCTAAGGAGACAATGCCAACCTGTCAGCCAATGATTGGTCCGCCTCCAGCCTCTGTGTCCTGGATAAAGGCCTATCATACTCTCTGTGCTCATAACCATAGCCACTCCCACGGGAGGCGGGTCTCTCTGGGTTGCCATGGTCACCATTGGAGAACTTGTGGTTCCTTGAAGGTGGGCGGTCCATGCGGTCAGGTAAGAGAGACCCCAGACTGGAACGTGTGCTGCCATCTGAAACAGGACGTTTTTTTTTTCTAGCATACAATCATCACCCTACAATCATCACCCTACAATCATCACCATACAATCATCACCCTACAATCATCACCCTACAATTACCACCCTACAATCATCACCCTACAATCATCACCCTACAATCATCACCCTACAATCATCACCCTACAATCATCACCCTATGTGACTTTAACATAGACTGATTACAAAATTAAAATATTTAATTAAGATGGGGTAGGCTCCTGTGAAAAAAACCTTTTTAATACTAGAGAGCAAAGAATTTTTTCACTACAGCTTTTTTAACGTACATCCACACATGTATTTCCTTTAAATAAAATTGGTGGGAAAATCTTAGTAACTATGACAACAGTGGCCATCTTGAAATATTAACCTATTTGTAGGATTTCCACCATTCATAAAGTATTATATTTTAAGCCCAATAAAGAATTAATTCATAACTGTCTACCATATTTTGGGGTACTCAGCTAGAAATTTTAAGTGCAAATCTTCAAATTAATTTATTATGAATTTTCAAAATGTGGATCCATTAAAAACACTACATTTTAAAAAGGGAACTTCACCCTACTTTAAATCAGTAATTTGAAATGACACATACACATACAAACACATAGACATTCAACAAAACTAAACAGGTGTACACAGAATGGTTGGAACATACAACTTACCAAAACGACCCCTAAGGCTGTCAGTGTCTGAATGTTCTGAAACTGACGATCTCCCCTCATGCTAAAATAAAAAACATGAAGTTATGATTCAACAGATATAACACACTTTTTTGTGTCTTTAATCTTAATTTCTTCTTATTTTTTTTTCTTTATTTCTAATGTTGGAAGGGATTCCCTACAATACAATTAAGTATTATGTGTCAACTTGTTATTTGTCATTTAGACCGTTGACTCCGATTTCAGCCAACATTCTTTGTTAATTTTCTTCCATTTCCTTTGTCTAACCAAGAAAAATCTACAAGGCACCAGTAGTTTGATTTTGGAGTTGTCTCCTAGAAGAGTTGGTACCCAGCTATAGAGCCTTTTCTGCTCGGGGGTTTAAACTCAAGACTTTTCAGTTTAGCAACCATGAGCTTTAACAACTCAACCACATCAACCCATAATTGTAATTAAAACCAACAGTTTCTGCTTATTAATATAAAATAATTATTATTGAAAGTCTAGCAATAAATATTTTTTAAAAGTTGAGAGTATACAAACATCTGCTCACCCTAGAGAGAACAGGTACGGGAGATCTTCTCTGGTTCTTCATCTCTTGTTCCCTCTTGTTTAGTTTCTCCCATCTGTAAAACACAACCATCATCAATCTACAATCATCAACACAAGCATGACCAATCTACAATCATCAACACAGGCATCATCAATCTACAATCATTTACACAATCATCACCAATCTACAATCATCAACACAGGCATCATCAATCTACAATCATCAACTCAAACATCATTAATATACAATCATCAACACATGCATCACCAATCTACAATCATCTACATAAGCACCATCAATCTACAATCATCTACATAAACATCATCAATCTACAATCATCTACATAAGCATCATCAATCTAAAAGCATCAACACAATCATCATCAATCTACAATCAACACACACATCATCAATCTAAAATCATCAACTCAAGCATCACCAATCTTCAATCATCCACACAAGCATCATCAATCTACAATCATCAACTCAAACATCATTAATATACAATCATCAACACATGCATCACCAATCTACAATCATCTACATAAGCACCATCAATCTACAATCATCTACATAAACATCATCAATCTACAATCATCTACATAAGCATCATCAATCTAAAAGCATCAACACAATCATCATCAATCTACAATCAACACACACATCATCAATCTAAAATCATCAACACAAGCATCATCAATCTACAATCATCAACACAATCATTATCAACCTACAATCATCAACACATGCATCACCAATCTACAATAATCAACACAAGCTTCATCAATCTACAATCATCAACACAAGCATCATCAATCTGCAATCATCAACACTATCATCATCAATCTACAATCATCAACACAAGCCTCATCAATCTACAATCATCAACACATGAATCATCAACCTACAATCAATCTGCAATATATTTTACAGATCCTTAATGAAAAATATGGGGAAAAAAATCCAAATGAAAATTACAACATTCATTCATTCAATGAAAAATATTTTTAGTTTTTACCATCTGTTTATATTCAATCTTTCTATTCTTTGAAATTATGGTTTTAAAAAAAATGTTTATAAGAATTAACTTGCTAAACATATTTTTTGTGTCAAAATATGTCAATATTTCAAGCAATGATAGATTAAAAAGTGCAAAAATTAAAATTTTTTGAAGACATCAAAAGAGCTTTACCATCAAATGATAAGCTTAAGTGAGAAATACAATACAATACAGAAGTTTGAAATAAAATGGAGTTTTGTATCATTCACTTAAAAACGACAGTATGCTTTCATTACAATTTGTATAAAGCATTTTCTGAAACAACCTATTTTAGTATGCACTAGAGCAGTGGTTCTAAACCTGGGTTCAATCGAACACACACCAACTCATTCGATTCACATTCTGATTTTGTCAGTGCGGACGATAGAACTATAAAGAAGGGTTAGGTGAATACGCATGTAAAATTAGTGGGGTTCTGTAACTCCAAAAAGGTTAAGAACCACTGCACTAGAGCTTACGGTGTTAATTAGCATACATAAGTATCTGCTAAGTATATAATAAGTATTCAGTGCTTGGAGATAGGGAACAGCCGAAATAGCACTTGACAGTTTCTAAACTTGTGTGTTAATAGTTAAGTCATTTTATAAGGAAAAATAATTAGAGAGCCACTGGGGTCATTGTTGATTGTGCTGGAAAACACCTTTGAATAAAACTGAAAGGGGGGGAGAGTAAGTGACAGGATGGAGGTGTAAGGAGAATGGGCTCCCCAAAGGTTAAGGTCAATGTGGGTGACTGGAATCGTGTATGTGGAATTACTTTTAGATCCAAAGACATGTGGGGGGTGGGGGATCATGTAACGGACTTATCCAAATGACTTCCTTTTAAATTAAAGCTGTTACCCGTTATCCTATTTCGTTAGACACAACCATCTTACTTCATTTTAAGATGGTTGTGTCTGAAAAACAAGGATAACAGGTACAAGTTGTTACTTCCATTAAAGTAATCGGGACAAAGTTTATGCTAAACATGTGGAAGACAGGGGGGTGTATACCCTAGGCACTTCCTGTTCTAAATACCCATAATCCCTGGACTAAGGTGACTTACACAGCATTTTTTCTTTCATTCAGTTGTAATCTGTTCTCATGCTCCATTATGTTACATCTAATGACACAGAAAGTTATGATGTGAGCCACACGTACAACAATGAGAAAATCACAATGGTTATGATACACTTTTATAACTTTTGTAAGCAAATTAAAAACATATATTCTCAGCTGGATTTGTAAAGTTAGAATTTTAACAAATAATATTCTTGATTATAATAGTAATAAAAAATATTTTATATAATAAATAAAATATAAATTTAAAACACTTAATATAAAATTACACAATAAATGAAATGTAAGCAAATTGAGTTGATTAATAAGTTGCACTTTACTGTTATGTTATTACTTGAAACATAAATTCGTTAACTACACCACCAGCAATAACAATTCTAGACACATTTAATAAGTAATGCTTATGCATGCATAACAAAATTAGTAAAAAAGAAAAAACAGTGTGAATGTGTGCATTTTTATATGTATAAGTAGGCATATATGTATGTGTACCTGTACATGACGTACATGTATATGTGTGTATGTATAAGCATATGTATATGTATGTAAATGTATGTTTATGTATATGAGTTCCTATATGTGTTGTACATGTATATTATGTGTGTATGTGTATAAATGTGTATAAATCTATTTGTATAATAAGTGTATATGTAGGTATGTTTAGTTTAATGGTGGCATAATTTTAAACTGATCAAAGAATAACGGATAAAGTGGATACATGTACACAAATATTAAGCTGATGAGATACCAGGTGACCTAACCAGCCATTCACCTCACCTTTCTTGTATCTCTGGTGACAGCCGGAACATGTCTGGCATCTCACTGCAGATGGTGTGGAGTTTCTGGTCAGATAAAATTGAAGTAAATTATCCTTTGGAATCTGATGGTTCATTGGGGCAGGTGAAGTAGAGTACAACAGTTTCAGTGACATCAGCATATGAAGGGATAGTTTTATGTCAATCTGTTAAACATTGACTCAGATTTCGGCCTGCTTTTCTTTTTGGATTAGCTTTATAGCCTTTGTACATCCACAAAAAAAAACTACAAGGCAACAGTTGTTTGATTTTGGATTGCTGTCCCAAGCTTTAGAGCCTCGGGGTTCAAACTCTGGCTTTTTGGTATAGGGGTCATCCATAAATGACGTCATGCTTTTTAAGACGATTTTTACCTCCCCACTCCCCTCCTTCACACATGTCACAAAAAGCTAGACCCCGTCTAAAATGACGTCACTCAGCCTACAACCCCCCCCCACACACACAATTGCAGTTGAATTTTTCTTAAAACATTGATAGTTTTCTAACATTGCTTTTTTATAATGCAAAAGTGTGACGTCACACCATCTGAACCCCACCCTCCTCCTCATCACACACCATCACAAAATTATGGACCCCCCCTACCCCTACAAGTGTGACATCATTTATGGACGACCCCATAGCAACCATGAACTTTACCAACCCACCCACGCCAACCCACTAAACTCTTATGTTACACTGCAACCACACAGGTACAACTACCTTACCCTAACCACAGCATCCACACAGGTCTCACTACCTTACCCTAACCACTACATCCACACAGGTCTCACTACCTTACCCTAACCACTACATCCACACGGGTCTCACTACCTTACCCTAACCACTACATCCACACAGGTACAACTACCTTACCCTAAACACTACATCCACACAGGTCTCACTACCTTACCCTAACCACTACATCCACACAGGTCTCACTACCTTACCCTAACCACTACATCCACACAGGTCTCACTACCTTACCCTAACCACTACATCCACACAGGTCTCACTACCTTACCCTAACCACTACATCCACACAGGTCTCACTACCTTACCCTAACCACTACATCCACACAGGTCTCACTACCTTACCCTAACCACTACATCCACACAGGTCTCACTACCTTACCCTAACCACTACATCCACACAGGTCTCACTACCTTACCCTAACCACTGCATCCACACAGGTCTCACTACCTTACCCTAACCACTGCATCCACACATGTACAACTACCTTACCCCAACCACTGCATCCACACAGGTACAACTACCTTACCCTAACCACAGCATCCACACAGGTACAACTACCTTACCCTAACCACAACATCCACACAGGTATCACTACCTTACCCCAACCACTACATCCACACAGGTACAACTACCTTACCCTAACCACTACATCCACACAGGTACAACTACCTTACCCTAACCACAGCATCCACACAGGTACAACTACCTTACCCTAACCACTACATCCACACAGGTACAACTACCTTACCCTAACCACAGCATCCACACAGGTACAACTACCTTACCCTAACCACTACATCCACACAGGTACAACTACCTTACCCTAACCACAGCATCCACACAGGTACAACTACCTTACCCTAACCACTACATCCACACAGGTACAACTACCTTACCCTAACCACTACATCCACACAGGTACAACTACCTTACCCTAACCACAGCATCCACACAGGTACAACTACCTTACCCTAACCACTACATCCACACAGGTACAACTACCTTACCCTAACCACAGCATCCACACAGGTACAACTACCTTACCCTAACCACTACATCCACACAGGTACCACTACCTTACCCTAACCACTACATCCACACAGGTACAACTACCTTACCCTAACCACAGCATCCACACAGGTACAACTACCTTACCCTAACCACTACATCCACACAGGTACAACTACCTTACCCTAACCACTACATCCACACAGGTACAACTACCTTACCCTAACCACAGCATCCACACAGGTACAACTACCTTACCCCAACCACTGCATCCACACAGGTACAACTACCTTACCCTAACCACAGCATCCACACAGGTACAACTACCTTACCCTAACCACAACATCCACACAGGTATCACTACCTTACCCCAACCACTACATCCACACAGGTACAACTACCTTACCCTAACCACTACATCCACACAGGTACAACTACCTTACCCTAACCACAGCATCCACACAGGTACAACTACCTTACCCTAACCACTACATCCACACAGGTACAACTACCTTACCCTAACCACAGCATCCACACAGGTACAACTACCTTACCCTAACCACTACATCCACACAGGTACAACTACCTTACCCTAACCACAGCATCCACACAGGTACAACTACCTTACCCTAACCACTACATCCACACAGGTACAACTACCTTACCCTAACCACTACATCCACACAGGTACAACTACCTTACCCTAACCACAGCATCCACACAGGTACAACTACCTTACCCTAACCACTACATCCACACAGGTACAACTACCTTACCCTAACCACAGCATCCACACAGGTACAACTACCTTACCCTAACCACTACATCCACACAGGTACAACTACCTTACCCTAACCACAGCATCCACACAGGTACAACTACCTTACCCTAACCACTACATCCACACAGGTACAACTACCTTACCCTAACCACAGCATCCACACAGGTACAACTACCTTACCCTAACCACTACATCCACACAGGTACCACTACCTTACCCTAACCACTACATCCACACAGGTACAACTACCTTACCCTAACCACAGCATCCACACAGGTACAACTACCTTACCCTAACCACTGCATCCACCTGCTTCTCCCCCTCAGGTGTACTGGCCAGGTATTTCAGCTTCCTGTAGGCATCCATTCCAGAGTTATACTCCTGCCTAAGTTCCGTAACTCTCTGCTCAAAAATGACATCTTCTGTGGAGTCGACAGATGTTGTCCTGCTTGAATTCACAGCCCTCTTCTGATCAGCCTGAACCTTACCGCCCCCCTTCCCATCAGAGTCATCGTGTTTTTTGTCTTTCTTTCCTTCACCACCTAAAATACAATTCAAGTATATAAAAGCACAGTTAAAAAAATGTTCCAATTCGCCACGGTCATAACACATTGCCTATGTCATTTTATGGGGGTTTGAGTCAATAGTTAAAATACAATGTTTACACATTATTCTATTATATGGCAAATCGCCTAAGTTTTAAATTGTACCAAAGTGACATAGTGGAAGTATTTTCAGGTTTTCTCAAAAAATGAAAACATGACTTAGGCGAATGTGTTATGACCTTGCAGAGGCGTAGCGACCCTTCCCGGCGCCCAGAGACAAACGTTTCGATTTGCACCCCTCCCCCCCTCAAGATTTCGATTTGCACACACCCCCCCCCCCCTCAAACTTTCGATTTGCACCCTCCTCAACCTTTCAATTTATTTTTCCAACCCATTTTGGTGCCCCCTAAGGTCGGCGCCCGGGGACATATGTCGTCGTCCCCCCCCCCCGCCCCCCCTCGCTACGCTACTGTGACCTTGACGAAATGTCTTCATAGACAAAATATTTAAAACAAAAATACATTTAGTTAAAAAAATGTCCATTTAAATAAATAAAAACCTATTTTGAATGATATTATGAATACTAAATGAATTAGAGTACAGAAACATTTTTTCCTTCTGTAGTATTTGACCTGACATTTTTTTTGTGAAGTTACTTTTCTAACAGTGTATTTGATTAGTTAAATGCATGGTAATCAGGTCAAGAGAGATCACTTATATGTGAGAACATTTTGTCGCTATCATGATCAGATAATGATCAGATAATGCTGTTGAAATTCAAATCTATTATCAGTCCAGATTTTCACTCAAATAGCGCTTAACTTCACTATGACTTGGTTCAAATAAATCAACTGACCTTTATTCTTCTCATTGTTTGCCTTGGTGTCTGTCTGAAAAGGCTGTCTCTGTAGGGGTTTTTCTGTCAAATTTTTCTCCACTTTCTCTTGAACTTCATCAAACCTCATGCCCAGCCTAGATCAAGGACAATGCCAGTTGAGTTGATTACATAGGAAAACAAAATCAAGGAACTATTATACAACGTTTATATTTGGGTTTATATATGGGTTTTCTGTCAAATTTTTCTCCACTTTCTCTTGAACTTCATCAAACCTCATGCCCAGCCTAGATCAAGGACAATGCCAGTTGAGTTGATTACATAGGAAAACAAAATCAAGGAACTATTATACAACGTTTATATTTGGGTTTATATATGGGTTTTCTGTCAAATTTTTCTCCACTTTCTCTTGAACTTCATCAAACCTCATGCCCAGCCTAGATCAAGGACAATGCCAGTTGAGTTGATTACATAGGAAAACAGAATCAAGGAACTATTATACAACGTTTACACTTGCGTGCAACATGTATACTACATACGTCTAGCAAAAAAGCTCACAGAAAGTTAGTATACATATTCTGCAGGATAAATTTTTTCACATAACAATAACTTGCTGCTAGTTTTATTCCCTATACATGTTTTGACTAAACATGTTAGAATGAAAATATAATACCACCTTAAATTAATTATTACAAGTAACAAGTATGGGACGGTGTGGTACTGTGTTTGCATACAAATGCTAAATCAAAAGATTTGAGTTAAGATCCGAGTTCAAGTTTGTAGAATGTCTTTGAGTCTACTCAGCTCTGATGAGTACCTGTCTCATGTTAGGTAAAGTAAAGCGGCCGGGCATTGTGTTGACCATACTATCCTTTTATATGCCACGGTCACAGAAACAGGTGAACTCTACTTCACTTGCCCATGGACCGTCATATTCAAAAGAGAACTTTACTTACTTAACAAGTAAGGTACTCATTCAAATCAGATAGTCCATTAACCAAATGCAATGCCTTTCCTCTATTTCTCTGACATTGGCAAATGAAGGAATAGTTTGGTAAGCAATATGCCCGGCAGATATTATTTTTCCTAATTTCATCTGGTTACCAAAAACAAAACAAGACTTTTGATTTAGTAACTTCAAGCGTAATCACTCACACACTATCCCCATTCAAATATTAACAGGGGTTAGATTAGCAGTTGGGTAATAGTTTAGTTAATGGTGAGAGGCTGAAGGATATCTCTCTAAGTGCATCAGTCATAAACAAATGCCTGATTCAATGAAGACAAACTAAAGCTGATTGAGTACTATACTAGCAACACAATCTTGCTGGCAATGAAAAAGAGAACCTAGATTTTATCAACTCTATTCTATGCACTTACAGACTTGCAAGGGTAGGCCTACTTAACTTTGCACACAGTAACATCAAGAGAGACTTATTGTAATAATTAATCCCATTTGATTAATTTTCTGTTGTCTAGTATTTGGATTTCTATGACATTCAAAAACCAAATTTATCTTAAAAACATGCCCTTCATTTAAGTCTAATCAAAATTTTTTGACTCTGAATGAAGTTATAAGATTTATTTTCTATTTTCGGACATTAGGTTCACTAAAACTTTAATTCACACAAAAACCAACTTTACCTAAATAAATGCCCTTCTAACTCTTTATTCTGATCAAAATTTTGTGACTCTGAAGTTATCGCCCCTGACCGCCTAAGAACGTTGTAATCATCTTTAGCTTGCAGGTACGCCCTCCTGAGTGTGTCATGGTCAGCCTTGATCTTCTCAAACACCTTCTCCTGGTCCTCCAGGTTCAGCTGACCATCCTCTAGGAGGCTGTAGAAGGACTCCAGCTGGGGAAGAGTTGAGAATTACTGCAGGGTAGTCTAAGCTACAACTGTCTAATGGCATCACTAGGTTGGGTGTCACCAATTATGGTTACTTAGGATGTCACCAATAGGAAGAATGACCTTACTAATTTACAAATACATGCCCTGTCTAACATTGCTCAAATGACATCATTCTGTAATTCATGACTAAACTACCAGACATTGATGACCTAACTATCTTGCCCCATCATCCATGACTTCACTACCTTTCTAACCTAACCACCTTACCCTGTCATCCATGTCCCTGGCCTGGGCCAACATATCTCCCTAACCACCTTACCCAGTCACCCATGACCTGTCACCCTTGACCTAAACACCTTACCCTGTCATCCATGTCCCTGGCCTGGGCCAACATATCTCCCTAACCACCTTACCCAGTCACCCATGACCTGTCACCCTTGACCTAAACACCTTACCCTGTCATCCATGTCCCTGGCCTGGGCCAACATATCTCCCTAACCACCTTACCCAGTCACCCATGACCTGTCACCCTTGACCTAAACACCTTACCCTGTCATCCATGTCCCTGGCCTGGGCCAACATATCTCCCTAACCACCTTACCCAGTCACCCATGACCTGTCACCCTTGACCTAAACACCTTACCCTGTCATCCATGTCCCTGGCCTGGGCCAACATATCTCCCTAACCACCTTACCCAGTCACCCATGACCTGTCACCCTTGACCTAAACACCTTACCCTCTCATCCATGTCCCTGGCCTTGACCAACATGTCGACCTTGACCTAACCACCTTACCCAGTCACCCATGACCTGTCACCCATGACCTAACCACCTTAACCTGCCACCCATGACCTAACCACCTTAACCTGCCACCCATGACCTAACCACCTTAACCTGCCACCCATGACCTAACCACCTTACCCTGCCACCCTTGACCTAACCACCTTACCCTGCCACCCATGACCTAACCACCTTACCCTGCCACCCTTGACCTAACCACCTTACCCTGCCACCCATGACCTAACCACCTTACCCAGTCACCCATGACCTAACCACCTTACCCTGCCACCCATGACCTAACCACCTTACTCTGCCATCATGACCTAACCACCTTACCCTGCCACCCTTGACCTAACCACCTTACCCTGCCACCCATGACCTAACCACCTTACCCAGTCATCCATGACCTAACGACCTTACCCTCTCATCCATGTCCCTGGCCTTGACCAACATGTCGGCCTTGACGACCTGTGTCACGTGCTCGGGCACCTCCTGCAGGCCATCCTCGATTTCCGTCACGGACTGGTGCACCAGGGACAGGGGTCCTTTCTGGAGGTCGGGTCGTGACCTTGACCTCGGCTCGGCGGGTGAACCGCGTGACCTGCCATCCGTTTGATCTCCCGAATCTGAAAGTTGTGAAATAAAAATTGTAGTGCATTGAAGCTGCGTTAAGGATATAGGTTCTTTGAGAATCAAAGTAAATGAAAGAATGACGAAAGCGTTGATGGTTGTCAGTGGCGTAGCGAGGTCGGGTGTCACCCGGTGCGGCACTTAATGGTGTCACCCCTCCAGAGACGAAGCGACCCTTCCCGGGGACAAACTTTAAAATTTTCTATTTGCACCCCCCCCCCCTCAAACTTTCGATTTGCACCCCCCCTCAAGTTTTCGATTTCCACCCCCCCCCCTCAAGTTTTTTTCTATATATTTTGCTATTTTTTGCCTTGGTGTCACCCCCCTAAATGGTCCGCACCCCCCGCACCCCCCCCCTCGCTACGCCCCTGATGGTTGTTAAGATCCGGATGGGTTGATTAGGAATTATGAAGCGCAATGTGTGTGTAAACTGTCAGTTAAAAAAGTTTTGTAGCAGGTAAACATTTTTTGTGTGAAATAAAATATAAAACAGTTGAACCAGTAGCGGATTTTTTGATAGAAACAAAATTAAAAGCCGAACTTGAGATGATAAACTGCCACCACATTTTAGACAAATAAACTCTACTTCATCTGCCCCATGTGATTTACGCACAAACGGGAAAAGATTATGACATTATATTCAACATACCCAAACATCATCACAAAATATAAAACATCTTTACGGGCATTGAAATTTTCCGATTGAAGTTTTTGTTGTTGTTATTGTTTTGATTGCATAAGTAGCAAATCAATTCTCATGAGTTTGGAGAGGGTCGGGGGAGGTAAGTTAAAAGTATGACATATCTTTAAAAAACTCCTCTCCAACTATTTTCTTTCCCATTTAAAATTTATCCTTTCTCTCACTCTTATGTTTTACTATGTTTCCAACCAACACAAGCTACAGTCCTGCAGTGGCGTCGCTAGGTCGGGTGTCACACGTTGCGGCACCTCATGGTGTCACCCCCCCCCCTTTTTTTTTCTCTGTAAATTTTGAAGTTGGTTTCACCCCCCCCCCCCCCCCCCGGTTAAAGCTTAAAGTATTCACATTTAATCTAATGATGTTTATCTATAGTCGGTTGTTGCATTTTTTCTCTATAGTTAGCAGTTTATGTCATGGTGCCGCCCCCCCCCCCCCAAGTTATGATCGTCATTATGTACTTACTGGCAAAAATATTTTTTTTTATATATCTTGCAGTTTTTTGTGTTTTGGTGGCGCCTTAAAACTAAACGCTTAAGTAAAACCCTTCAACTCCACCCTACATAATGTCACCAAGTGCGGTCCGCACCCCGCGCCCCCGCCTCGCGACGCCTCTGCAGCCCAGCATTAAGCGTGTGCCTAACACACACATAACGTTACATACATCATGTAACATTTCCACCACCGCCGTCAATACTATATAGCATTTCTAGAAACTACATACCCTCCTAGATACCTCGACATAATTTGGCAGGAGTAACATACTTGCTATTAAGATAAGTTATCTCCAATACAAAAAAAAAAACAATGGTAGATCTTGTTAAAAGAAAAAAAATGTAAACCAGTTATTTCAGCGTATTCATTAACCATTCTGGCCTTATTAACCATTCTGGGTTCATTAACCATTCTGCAGATGTAAGAATACAGGGAATCAAAGTCAATGTTATAAGACACCGCTCTATACCACACTCTGCCCCGTATATCACGATATAACATACGGGTGTTAAATAATACATACACGACCCCTAAGTCAGCCGTCAACCTATGTCTAAAGTTTGGACCTATTCAAACCACCGTATCCATTAACATATAGCGCACCAAGTTACAGAAGGATCTAAGACGCCAGGAGATAAAAAGGAGCTATACTATAATGAGAATAATTTACCCGACACACTAATGTCAAGTTTAGTAGGACATACGTGAGAAGCTAGGGCGACCAATGTAGAGTTAATGCTAAATTACTGGCTTAAAGTTAAGAAAACGAATATGCATTCAATCTGAGAGACAACTTAAAATTACCAACGTATCATAAAAGTTTATGAAATGACCGTAAACTATGTCTTTAATACAGTAATCGATAATAACGCTTAGAATGTCGAGAAGGGCTAGTAATGCAGTGAAAGGCGGGGAATTATTTTAAAAAGATGTTGAGACTTCTTTTATGGACACTCGTTCTATTTTCCCCTGAAAATATAAATAAACTTATCAGAAAGTGAATTTTTATATACTTTCGTACATAATCATCGATAATACATTACATAATCGTTTGGGTATTTACTTCTGCCATAATCACTCTTAGGGTAATGATTTGGGGTAAATTTATGATTAGTAAGAAGGTAAACATTAGGAGTGAAGTTATGGTTAAAATTAGCAATACAAGCATACACATTTTCTGTAAGACCTTTTTGTGGTTTTACACGTGGGAACAAAAAACAAAAAACAACGAACAACCGCTGGAGTTGCCGGTCCTGTTCTAGAGTTATCTACCTGCCACGACTTACCTTGACTAAACGCCTGGGGTTCTAATTTAGCGACCTTGTCTATCTCTATGTTGCCAGCCAACAACTCGAACATGGCATCAGGGGACAGAACCGTTGGATTTTGTTCGTGGTCAGTCGATACACACCGTTACTTGTCCCAGGCTGGTCTATCGTTAATCCAACGCTAATCCTTTGACACGGTCAATACACAAAATAGGTCTAGCAACATATGTGGTCACTGGTCAGTTGGTACACACCATACACAGTGATACATGTCACAGGTTTATCGTTAATCCAACGTTAATCCTTTGTCACGGCCAGAAAATAGGTCTAGCAACATATGTGGTCACTGGTCAGTTGGTACACACTATACACATCGTTAGATGTCCCTGGCTGGTTTATCGTTAATCCAACGTTAATCCTTTGTCACCGCCAATACACAAAATAGCTCTAGCAACATATGTGGTCACTGGCCAGTTGGTACACACCATACACAGCGGTACATTTTCTAGGCTAGTTTACCGCTAATCCAAGGTTAATCCTTACAGAGTGTTATATGTCCCTGGCTAGTTTATCGTTCATCCAACCTTAATTCTTTATCACGGTCAGAAAACGAAATAGGTCTAGTAACAAGTGTGGCGATATCATCATAGTGTATCCTCCCTTTCCTCAAAAGACACCGACTTATCCGGCTCAGGGGCCGCCACCCATTTGTCAGACTGGCCTGAATACAGTAAACTCCGATTAACTGGCTTTTCATGTGATTTTACTCCCAGAAGATTTGTGTTTAATCCCCGTGAATCGGTCGCTTTCCTCTGTCTGTTGTTTTACTTTATTTAAAGTATCAAACTCCAATCTTCTTGTTTATCCTTTTAAAGTTTTAAAGAAACTTTTTTTTTAATTCCGTGTGAAAAAAATAAGTTTTCAGCTACTTACATATCTAAACAGCAATTATAAGGAACATAGATCCAAGTGTATACCATTTCTTATCAAACGTCACATGGCGAATGTTACATTTATAGAATTTTTTTTTAAACAACGATAACGAAATTCCAAAAACACAACTGCAAAATCCAAACTTTAAACAGAATCAAGTAAAAAAAAATATATTTCTAACAAGCCAGCATATAGGCCTATAACTACCACATTTTCAACCTTAGCATGTGTTTCAATAACTTAATTTTTCTTCAAACAAATCGTGAACACGTCCATAAAACAGGATCAACAAGGCCCCCTCGTGTTAAAGCTTCCATACCCCCCAGTCTAAAACTAAACGCTTAAGTAAAACCCTTCAACTCGACACAAACCCTGCTTAGATCTCAACAACCTATTGAACACTCTACGCCTACTCGGCTACGCACCATAGTGTGAAAACTCTTATCAGCACAGCCATTAGTTTTAAAAGAAATCACACCAAGATTTGTATGCGCACCAATTTTTTTAATGTTCTTGTTTTCATCTAAGGGGCAAACACAGTTAACGGTAAATTAGATTTTATTAGACTACGCTGTTGGACGTGGGCATTTGGTGCTGGTCTCTGAAGTATCTACAACAAGTCTGACCTTTGAACTGCCTTCACATTCAATGCCACAACAACACAGGTTGGGAGAATCCAGTAAGAAATCAGTCAGTTTAGCCTAAGTCTTATGTGTATGTGTATGTGTAAATGTATGTGTAAGTGTATATGTATATGTATATATGTATATTTAATATAATTTAAATAATAGTTGATTATATAAATGCATTTTTTCTTACTAGATGAAAGTTAACCAATATATTCGGGTTGTAATCGATTAGCTGTACCATCATATTTTTATCACTAATATCACCGTGAACACTACTTGTATAGTTAAGGTTAGAGCTACTGATAGAGGGCATAAAGTATTTTTTATACACAGTATTATCTATAACATTAAACAGGGTAACCGACAAATACCCACAACCACAGCAATGATTTATCTGATAACAATATATAAACCAAATTCGAACAGAAATAGGGCTATAATTATTAATATACATCACGCTTTAAAAGATAAATAACAATTCATACATTATCCCTATATTAGTATGTATAAGTATTAGCATGTCTAATCCACTATGACCCTCAGCAGTAGCCACGAACTGATTCACTATCGCACACATACAACCACCAAAACAACAATGAAACTCCAGCAGTCTAAAACATGGACTCGCACATTGGGGAAAAAAAAAACAAGCTCCCTGCTATAAATAGACGCAGTTACCTCCCTTCTGATTGGATTTCTTATCTATCTTTCACGCTAGGCTTCGATCACAAGATCGATCAGATTGATTTTGTCGTTAGATGCTTTGCTGGGACTGGACGGAGCCAATGAACGAGGTACTTTACAACCACCCCCCCCCCTCTCTTTCTGCGCTGTTTGAAATGTATTGTTGCTTTTAACTCTATGTTCTACTTCTAGGGTTTCTTTACGCCGTCTAAAAGGACATCCATAAAAAAACGTCACGCTTTTTAAAACAATTTTTACCTCCCAATAGTCACACAACGCCTTAAAAGCCA